TTATTGAGGCAGATGAGAATTTATCTCCACCATCACCATCCCAGTTAGCTCTTTTCTGCCTTCCACCAATTAGATCCTCAGGTATGGTTCCCATTTTGTAAAAAAGGAACTGCTGGTTCTCTTAGGGCACGTCCAGACTATCAAAACAAGGAGGGAATGGTTGCTTTGATTGTATTATAAAATATAATGCAGTGTATTATATAACTGGAAGGTGTATATCCCAGAGGTATTATCAAAGGAAGTGAGTCATGTTTCTAGGATAGCGTATCTCAAACTCAGCAAGATGTGTGGACTTCAACGTCCTGAATTCCCCAGCCAGCATTTAACTATACAAACCTCCCCCTTTTTTTCTTCCATCCAGTGATGTCTGATTCTCAAAGACTGCCTGGACAAGCCCCTAAAATTTTGTTGGACAGGTTTTCCAGAAGTGGTTTGTCATTACTTCCTTCCTAGGGCTGAGAGCAAATGACTGGCCTAAGATTACCCAGTTGGCTTTGTGCCTAAAGCAGGACAAGAACGGATATAGTCTCCTGATTTCTAGCCTGATGCTTTCTTTAACCCTAACACCAAACTGGCTCTCATCGAACTTTAGTCCTAAACTAAATTCCAAAATATACTGGAAGGATATTGATATTGACATAGGCTTATTCCATTGTACCTTGCCTCAGTGAAATAACCTTGGTGCTATAGTGTGTCAACCCATCCAGCACATTAGAACTCTGTGAATCCAAAGCCAATTGTAGGTATCAATTAATACTCAAATCGCAGCTTAATGACACGTGGTTCTACCAGTATCATAGCTTGATCTTACACAGTATTTCCCTCAAATGTGAGTATATGTAAGGCCCACTTTTATTTAATCTTTGTGTAAGCAAATTAGTTGGTTCTTTTTTAAAAAAAACCTCTAACACTGCTTAACACAGATATGGGTCTTATTTCATCACTGCAGCTAGATATGAAATTACAATCCAGATAGAATATATTGCAAGACAGTCATTTGTTTATTAATTGTAATATTTCAAAGTCAGTGATGTGGACCAAACACCAGAAATTGCATAGAATCAGGAAATTGAATATTGTAGAATCTATTCAGTCAAGTACTTGAAGATTCCATTTCTTAGGGTGTGTGTGTAAGAATTCTCCATAGCAACTTTACTTTGAGGCAATGAAATTTCATTGAGCTCTAAAATGTAATTTCCTAACATTGAAGCTTATTAGAACCGACGTTAAGATGTTTTGGCTCTTCAATTCTTACTTGCTAAATTTTATAGTGCAGCAGTTTTGAATAATCCTGGTACAATGCCATGCATTTTAGCATGACTATTTGCATTTCTTCCTGATACACGTCGTTCGTTCCTTTGAACACAAATGAATATTCCTCTTTTTGAAAAATGTATTTTGTAAATGCCAAAAAGATATAAAAAAAATACAGAGACAAATTCTAGGGGCTGGAATTCCAATATATCTGGGAGCCATATGGTTACTTTCAAAGTTTGAAACAGGCTCCCTCTGCTGATGCCACAGCATAAAATGAAGAGGCTGATAGAGCACATTCCATGAATGGGCCACTCAACCTAGTCACTGCTCAATACAGCAGACACAGATTTTGTACTGTTCCCTGATTCTGCAGCCTGTTATGGAAAAACTTGCTTACAAAAAGCAGCTTTCCATTCAGAAGAATGCAGGAGAGCAAGTGTTATTTGCAGCTAGAGATAAGTGCAAATAAGCATTGTTTAAGCTTCACACAACTGCACATCAACTTGATAGGATCAGTCCCTGAGAAGTTATCCTGGGGTTCTCATGGTTATTCTCAGAATCGATTGAGCACGAAGGAGAGAGCCCGCAGGTGTGATGGTTCCACTTCTCTAATGTAGGAGGACTTTTCCTGTGATTCTGCAATTTCCTGGGCATTAAGGACAGCAGAGTTTGCGTGGAGGAGAAGGCTAAGGGTGTACTTGAAGCAAGATGACAAGACTCTCACCGTCACAAGGCAGATTGCTTGGAGGTTTCAATGCTCACTATTGCTCTTTCCACGGGTCGCCATCAAAGGTTATATTCTCAACATGATAAAACATGATTTACCAAACTGGGTTCATACAACGTGAACTAACAGTTTGGCTCACCGCAGTGTGTGAGCTCAATCAATGTTGTGCAAAAGTAACAGCAACTTGTTTTTAAAAGTATACATTAAAGTCATGGTTTAACAGATACTTAAACTAGGCATTTGGGGCTACATATGATGAACCAAATAGTTGTAAGAATTAAAATTTCAGCCGGCATATTTCAGAAGCTACAGTCCAGATAATCTGGGCAAAGTAGAGCTTTAATAAGTGACAAGAGCATCATTTTTTTTACCTGAAAATTTATTGAAAAATGCAATACAAGATTGAACACATATCTAAATGCTACATCTAATTTTTCTTTAACTACAAAAGTCCAAAATAACAACTACATAAACTATAAAGATTTGCTAATAGTTTATTCTGTTCCTACTTTTTTTTAAAAAGAACGAACTATTCTATACAATTGTCTTTAAAAAAAATTTACAAAGCTCCTTCATATCTGCAGTGAAATAGTGTGATTTAATGTGTAAAAAAGAGAACCAACCCCCCATAATTAGAATACATTTTTTAAAAACTGTCCCTTGTATGAAAATGGAAAAAAATCACAGTTTATGAATCCCCAACACCCTCTCGAGTCCCCAAAGTTAATTTGTACTTTAATTGTTGGCAAGTGAAAATCTATTTTTTTTCTTCTAATTTGACCAATTTGGATACTGCTGCTCTTCCTTCTGTACACACATTCATAGATAAATAGCTTCCATTTACTATACAGTTAAGAGAGTTTCTAGATAATCTCATAAATGGGGAAGGAAATAACTGGGAGCATAGTCATTTCATCATTATAAATAAATAGACTATATTTTATTTACTGCTCCAGTAATGGCAGTGCTGGTCCCCAGAAAACGAGAATGCTAGAAGCTGGTTTATTTTGTGATCTGTTAAGGTGATGGTGGCAGCTCTGAGATTGTGAGTACAAACAGCCTACAAATGCTTTTCCTACTCAAAACATGAAAATTACTATTGTCAATGGCAGACAGTTCAGGACACGTTTCTGGTACCCTAAAACTAAATTATTTTCATTGTGTCTGCTATGGAAAGTTAAATTACCTTGGCAAATGCATTTTAAAAGGATTTATTAGCTCCTTTTTTAAAATTTCTCCAGCATGCTTGGCTATACAAAATGAAATATTGCTCACTTGCGGGATATAAGCAGCCAGGAGGAAACAAACTCACAACTCTTGTTCAGTTACAAAGGCTGCCAGCAGGAGTGCCAATTTATAAGCTCAGGTGGTAAACAGAAACCGCCTTCGCAGCAGAGAGTGGATTTACACTGCATGCAGGAAGGAATTTCAGAAAAGAAAATAATCCCTATGTGGCAGCAGCCCCAGGATTCACATTCCTAAGAGGTTTAAAAGAGGACCCTTAAACTCTTTCAGCCTTTTCGGGTGTGAAGTTTAGTTTTATCAGTTTTGGCGAATAGGTAATAAAAGCTGGTGGGAGTTGTTGCACAATAAGACTACCAGTCAAAGGAAGGTGTGTACATGCATATTGTTAAGGGGTTTTAAATGTTTTGTTACAATAATCAGAAGCAGAGTAACATAACATGAAAACAGCACAATCGTTTAGGTTTATCAGGGGTATCCCACGGTGGCAACTTTAAGACTTGTGGACTTCCACTCCCAGATTTCCTCGGCCATGATTGGAATTCTGGGAATTGAAATCCACAAGTCTTAAAGTTGTCAAGGTTGGACAACCCGATGTATATCATGTAAATCAGTTTAATCTGCAAAAATATGAAGTTTTTCTTGCTTTATAATGCTTTTATCTTCTGGCATACTCAAAGGTGGAGATCTTATGCCTGGCCATGAGTAGAAAAGCAAAACTTTTATTAAATTCATGAGGTCAAATTGCCCTGCTAATGAATATATAGAACCAAAAAGAAAAAAAAAGTAAATTTGAATGACCCTTACTTTTCTTTCTCTCAGGAATATGGCTGTCTTGTTGCTTGTTCCTTTTATCTTGTAGAATAGTTTTTCATTTTTTCCATTCACGTGTCCTGTGATTTTGAGCATTTCTTGAAACTAATATATTCCTAAGTAATATTTAGAAAAGCAATCCTAAATACTTACACCAACTGTTAAATGAACATTTTTTGCTTCTGATTATTGTAAAAGGAGGCAAGTAATGACACAATGCAGATATACCATCCCACCTTGGACTTCCTTATTGCAGTCTAATGCAACACTTACTGCAGATTTTATTACACACTTTTAATAAATAAGCTAAAAATCAGAAAAAAGGAAGTTGGGAGTCATCTATTGCACAACACAAAAAATGGTGAATCAGTAAAATTAACCCTGGTGCATGAATGAAAACGGAGGTCAAAAGATAAGGTGGTAGAAAACTCTGAAAATGGGAGAGCAATAGATGTAAGGAAGGCCAGGAAGAGGTACAATCTGAAATGCATTCCCCTCATCATGTAAAGGTAATATTTTATAATGTGGGATTCACATTCCATACAAGAATGTGTAGGTTAGCTAAACAGAGCAGAACATCACTGGCTAGCTATCCATAGTGTACAAAAATCATGCTCAGTTACAGCTGGTGAAAGGGCAAAACCTGTCCTTAGAAACCATATGGAATACAAGCTTCATGAATAATAGAATTCCATAATAAATAATAGAATGCTTTCAAAACTGCTTTATGCTTTGAATAAAAGAGCAGTAAAAGCAGCAGAAATATTAATATTTTGCACCAGTCAAAGTGTACCAATCAGTTGTCTTCCACAATAAATAGCTAGTTTTGTAATAAATACATTAAGTGCCCAGAATTTATTCTAGTTCAGTGTAATATTGTTAGGAAGCTTACTTACTCTACTGCTTTCATAATTACTTTAATTAATTCTATTACAACTCAATCCTATGTTTATTTTCCTGGGGGTGGGGGAGGATCTGTTTCTAAATGGGCTTCCCTCTGGCATCAATCAGCAATCATTGGAAACATGATGTAATGTCCAGAGCATATTAAAACAAAACTGATCGAACAGCATTCCATCTCAAAACACTTCTAAAATGTTACAAACACTTCATTTTGAATGTAAAATTGTGGTTTCAAGCTCAAATGGGATGTTTTGTATTCAAAATGTTTCACATACCACTACCTTTAAATCTTTCAATCCTAAAATATTCCTACTGACTCTTTAATCAAAATGCACTCACATTTGAGAGGGAAAGGAACATGCAGTATGACAGGGTAGCATTATTTCAAATAGTAAATGAAAGCTTTTATTTACTGAAATTGAGTTCTTCTAAGAAAAGGTAGAGCTGCTTCTTGTTGTATCTTTACAGAGCCTTCACATATTTTAGGAAAAAGAACCATCCAGCTAAGTAATGGTCTATCTATTTTTGAAAGATGGGAATTCCAAATTGGAGTCCAATAATTTAACATGCAGATTGCAATACACATAGAAAAGTGAAGTATTTTGAAAAAGAGTAGTCCTATTTGACTTTTGTTTGAAAGTAATGTAAAATCAGTATTATCTTTTTTTAAAAAAATTCCCACTGACCCCTTTCATAAATTACTTATTGCTCTTTCTCTGAACATATTCCCCAGGTGGTACATACTGTATTTTTCTATGATGACAATACATACAGTATTAAGGTGCTGAGGACAGCACCCAATGCTGAGTTCTACTCTTTCATTCTAATGTTAACAGTGGAAAAAGCTAAGGGCATCATTTACCAAATGCAACAACCTCTGTTCGTGGGTTGTTGTTATTGTTGTTGTTTTTGAGGGAAAGCAAGTTCTTTTATAAGAAATTCTAAATGATCTAAAGGAAACAAGGGAAATACAGCACCAGTGCACCATGGTTAGGGTTGCCCCCTCAAGAAAAACGACAAAGTACTGTCTTCTGATGGAAATTAATATATTCCCTCTCCAAATAACTTTTCACTGAGGAAACAAGACCCTATTCTGACTGATAGCCTTTGATACCATCTTCATGAAAAGAATGCCAGATTGTCTTTAACAACTGAATAGGAATTACACCCCTTATCCAGATACATTGCCAGAGCTCTAAATTTAACTTTTGTTTAAAAGGTATGATTTTAAATCTTTGCCTTTTGCCCCCCCACCTTGCACAAACAAACAAACAAAAAACAAAACCCTCCACCCAAACCTACAAATGAATATGGGTAAAAAAAAAAACCCACCATGATAAAATCACAGCCTAACTTAATTGTGCTCAGGGTCTCTTACTCTTAAACTCATAGCTTAATGGGGCTAAACAGCAGATAGGATTACAAGGAACACCTACCAAGGACTGGGAAGCAAAACAAAGGTGGAGGGAGAAAAGAGCAGATGAGAGTTGAATGACTTACCACAATTCATTTAAAAGCTTTACAATTCACAGTATAAAAAAGCAACTTCCATTGTCCCTGAACCTAGGCAACTACTGAATTACTTATATAAACACCACAACCTCCGGATATGTTCAAGCATCTAAAGACAGACATATCCACAAAAGCGAAGGAAATCCACAAGCCAAGTATGCTGTGGTTAGGATACTCTGGACATTTTATAGATCAACCAATCAAATTAAAGTTTTGCACACAGTGATTTTTCTGACAAGGGAGGCTACTTGTAAGTCACTGATATACCACACGGTAACCTATTCAAAAAGTAGGAGAGAATGCAAGCTACTTGAGGAACAGAAAGGTGAATATCATCACACTTAAAGGCAACATTTTTGATAAGCCCTGTGTACTCTTTTTGACATCTTAATACAGATTCAGAAAATGGCAAAGGAAAAGGAAATGGGAAAAAAATGATTAAAAAAAAAAAAAAAAAGCACATCAGCACATGTAAAATATGGCAAATTGTCGGTCACAATATTAAAAACAATGAAAAGGGACATATAGTATTAAAGATAATTCCAAGTAAACATCAAAAAGCATAACTTCCTAACAATAAATGATAGAATGTGTGATTGAGAATAAATCTGGCAAGTTTGAGGTCATGGTGTTTGAAAGTTCCTTTGTAGTTCTGCTGGTATGTCTTGGGTGGCCTTCAAAGAATGAAGCAGGCATCACCTAGGAAGATACAAATTTCTTAATGAAAATGGACACACATTTAGTATCTTACAAAATGTTTGTGAACTCCTGATATTCTGCAAATGGGACAGAATGCATCAATTATATAATATTTTCAAATAATTGATTAATATTCATCTTAACTGGAAAGTCTAAGCTTTTTATAGCAACATAGAAAAATGCAAAAGTATACCGTACATAAACAAAAAGCCTGAACTAATAAAATATCACTGGATCAATTAATAATAAGACTTAGCTGGCAATATAAAAAATATATCAAAGCCAGGACAAATAAGCACGTCTTCAACAATAGAAAGACCATTCCATATTCTGGGCAGCACAACTGACAGTGTCCTTCAGTGAGAGTGATTGCTGAATGAACATGATGAAAGCTGTGGCATAGTAGGAAAGACGTTTTCTATGAAAAGCTAAATCCATGAGTCATGGTGGCTCGGTGGATAGAATGCAGTATTGCAGGCTAACCCTGCCCACTGCCAGTAGTTCAATCCTGTCCTGCTCAAGGTTGACTCATCCTTCTGAGGTCGGTAAAATAAGGACCCAGATTGCTGGGGTAATATGCTGACTCTGTAAACCGTTTAGAGAGCGCTGTAAAGCACTGTTGAGCAGTATATAAGTAAGTGCCATAGCTAAGTGTTACTGCTATATGAAATAAATGCATGTTACTAAACATATACATAAATTTTGCTCAAATGTGTCTTATTATGAGGATCAGAATATGAATGTTGAAGTGAGAACATAGCCAAGTTATATTTAAGAAAAAGTATCAATAATGATCAATCATCTTTGCTTTCCTTATTATATTATGTGCATAAGTGTTTCAAGGTAAACTACCTGGTTAAGTTTGTATTTTAGATGATGTTTTAACTTTAAAAACCAGCTTTTTATTATATCATTACTTTGGATCTTTTTTCTTACTTTTGTCTGATAATGGGACATAACTGCAGAACGATAGGATAAAAAATTAAATAACTACATAAAATCCATATGCCTGAAGGTAGCCTCCAAGGATACACAAATGGAGAATTCCTGTCTAGATGTTTGCTCATAAATGGCACTCTAGTCTGTTGCAAAGCATACTCAAAATTCAGAAAACTCCCCCCTCCCCAAGAAAAACTTAGGTTCCCTAAATTGACCATAGGATCATTCTTCCACGGATAACTTAGTTTTAAAATATAAAGGTTTAAATCAGAATGTGATGCTCGGTTAATTCATGGCGTTAAGGATGTTTCTTAGCACAAGGGCCCAGTTCTTGTTCACTCGTGTATGAAACAATTCTTGACCACTTGTATAGCTCTTGGGCTTTAAATACCGGCGAGATAGCTCACTCATAAAATGGTGCCTTGTTGAGAAACATTAGCATTGATCAAAAGGAAACAGGAGAAAAAATACTCTTAAGTTATCAAAAAAACCCATGCTATTTTGGTCCTTATGTACAACTAAATCACCATCAAACAGTATGTCAGGTGAAACAAATCTGTTGCATAAATAATCCATAAGAAGAAACACAGAGACAATTTCTCAAATTAAATGGTATGCTGAGGTTTCATTCCCAAGTTGCACATTATCTCCGTACTATACTGGGAAGAACATGAATAATTAATTTATTCTTAGCTTTATCAGAGGACACTTCTCTACAAATTTCAGGTAACTTGCAATGGATGCCCACCGTGATTGAGACGCCTACTGCAGGACTGAACAACGCAAGCGACTGTGAATGCCTTTTTGTTATCTTGAACAGGTCACACCAGTTTCCCTTTTCTTAAAGTACAGATTAAAAAATAATTTGAAAAAGTAGGACTTTATTAGAGCTATATAAAAATTAAAAATATGGACAAGGTAAAAGGTTATTGGTGAATTTGAAACATTTATTTTAGCCCCCTTCAGCATTCTTAGTGTTGCTTCTAATGGCAATAGCAGTAGCACCCAATATTTTTTAAATAGTTTACTATAGGTTTCTCTCCGCCAATTGGTGGTGAGTGGACTGCTTATAATAGTGCAGGAACAAGACCTGGCAGGCAACAAGAAGTACAATATGACATGATATTTGCAGGTCTTATGTTCTGCAGACCCAGCCTATTTAATCCTAAACAATCATTGCTACCACTTTCAAACATTAGTGGGAGGCTAAATTTCAAGGGTACTTATGATATGATTTACAATTAGAGTCAGAAACAGGCTACTATTTTAAACATTCTCATTTCTATTATGGCTGGATTCTTCCCCCAATATATGTACATTTTAGCAGCAGTTTGTGCCTGTAAAGATTTACTATAATGAATTAAACTTGAGATATCAAGAACAGGGAGCTTCTTTAAGACACCTGATAACAATCCTTATTTATGACTAAAGTTAAAATATTTTATGAAGTGGCGCTAAAAGGGAACTTACCTGGTATAAACTATTTATTCTGCAATCTCAGTCTCCTGATGAACGACGACCTTGGTCACAGACATATCTGGATGTTGCTCTTTAGCTTCTTTGATGGCCTGAACAAGAACCTGAAGGAAAAGAGTATAAAGAGCACATTATTTCTGTGCTGCCTAACTTAATTTGCAGTCTGACATCCTACGGAATGGGGGGAGGGGCTCAACCTGTGTTATTTTACAATCAGCCTGATCAAGTTTAACACTTGAGGAAGACCACATTAGTACTATCATAGCAATATTTTATCCAAGTGTTTTTTTTAAAAAATTCATTTTAATTATATACTTAACAAAACAGCTTCAAGTTTGTGAATGGCATCTTGTTATCTGTTATCACCTAGAAACATTTGAACTGAGTTTAAAAGATTTTCAATGCTTCAAAAATAACTTCAGAATCTGAATTTAAAGTTACTCTTCTATTGTTAAAAAAAACCCCTCCTTCCATTATCAATAATTACAACAATCTCTTACTTGATCATGATCAATGTCTGTATCTCCTGTGATGACAATTCGTTTTTCAATTCGTGTTTCTGAAATTCCACCTTTTACAGTCTGTCATGAGAAGACAAATATTAACATTTTTATAATTAAAAAATTATAAAACCTAGAGATTTTAATTATTTTTAAAAGAGAAATGTAATCAATTTATTAAATAGGAATGTAAATAAAAATCTAGTTCATAGGTGCATTAGAATAAACTTGTATCATCTTTTGAACTTTCTTTTTCATAATTATGATTTCATTATTTTCAATTTTTTTTTACAAAATTTAGACTAGACAAATATCCCATTCTTGCGAACCACAGGAAAGTTGCTTTACAAAATATAAAATTTGGTTATAAAGAGCATAAAAATGATTTTAAAAGTGAAGTTAATATAATAGATTCTTTTTTAAAATAAGTCTGGAAATAGAAAATATTTAGTCAGAACTCAATTAAGCTCAAACTAAACTAAAAAAATGTTTTGGCAAGAAAACTTGCAATTCCTTGATTCTCAATTTTAATGTAGACATAATTTGAGGCAAAGCCTTTAAAACTCCATATTACAAGATACATTTGTTTAACTTTTTTTCTCTCTGTGGTTTCTAACACTGGTTAAGCAGGTTTCCCCAACTTCACCATAAATGCCAGAAGTTCAAGTATCAAAACAGGTTGGTTCTTTGTATGCAACAAAACTTTCAAGAGGGCATCTGTAACTCAGAATAAGTCATACCATTTGGCTATAGTGTATTATTATTTTTTTGACTTTATATCCATTACCAAAAGTTGTAAATCTAAAGGATAACTTGAGCTCATTGCAACTTTGTAGCCAGGGAAGAGACTTTATGTAGCCAAGGAAATAAGATCCTTCTCTTGGATACAATATTATTTTATTTCTAACACAACCATAATTGTCATCAAAACGTAAGCTTTTCCGATCTACAGCAACACTGTCTTATAACAAAATAGTGCTTCTGTGTTCTCTGCATTCTACTGTCCAATCATGTGAGGATTACCAAGGCACACAGAAAATGAAATATATGCATGTAATTTTTTTGACAGGCATACAGCTTATCAATGAGACCAAATACTTGTTTAGCAGAGGTTTTACCTTCGTTATCTGTGTGGTCGTAGTGCTGCTGGTGGTCTCTGAAGTGATCGTCTGAGCAGTTAGGAGAACTCCAGGATCTAAATCCCCACTGCCATCATCAATCTAAGGCAGAAATACATGGAAGTATAAATGACTTCCTTGCCCACCTACAGTGAGTAACTCACCTGGTAGGAAAGATGACATTCATAAAAAAGAAACAAACTGAAAGACTGCTTCTAAGTGAAAAGAGATAGTATTAGCTAATCAACTACTGTATACATGTAGGACACTAACAACAACATTCTGGATCAGACAAGGCCCGTACCAATTTAATCCAATACTCCCAGTAAACAATTAGATGCCATAGGAAGTTTACAAATAGAACCTTTGTGCAACGGCATCTTCTCAAGGATATATTGGTAAAAGCTGCTCAGTTCCCCGCAGTAATAAATGTAGCAACTATGATTAAATTCCATTCCTGTCCCACTTGTCTATACAATGAAAACAATGTACTTTTAAAAATCTTTTGAGATGTTTTTTTCAAAGCAGTAACAAACTTCCTCTTGTTGAATGTATATACATAGTTTTCTGCGTAAAGGAGGACAGTTTGTCAAAAGCATCCAGTTTACATATTTAAGCTGAAAGACCATATTTATCAAGCATATTTGCCTTAGGGGGGAAAAAATGGAAAGCACTTTGTAGCTACAAAAATAGTAAGAAAATGGTTTACCCTTAAGTCTATTTTTGGGTAGATTTTTGAAAAAAGCTTCCCACACATCTAGCTCCTTCTGGTACCACCCAACATGCAACTTACCTTAGTGAGAGTATACATTGGGGAATTTTTAACTCAAGTGTACAAATTACCAAAGATGATGGATATCTTTTTTTTTTTTTTTTAAACTCTGGGGCTATTACTTATGTTTCCAGGATCCACAGCAGTTGTCCACAAATGATTCTGGAGAGCAATTGTTGTGGTCCGCCAGCGGCCTGCGGAGTCGGACAGTGAGGAGGCTGGGGAGGACCACGGACGAGTCCTGGAGTCTGGGGAAGGCTCGGTGGAGGGCTCTGCGTCGAAGGCAGAGAGGGGGCCAGGGCCATCTGGAAGTTATGTGCGAACTCTGGAGCCTCCAGAATCTGACGTCAGCGAGGTAGAGGAACAGGGAGAGCCTGTTCCCAGTGCATGCGTGCGCAGAGCTGCCAGAAGGCAAGAACAGTTAAAACAAAAGGGACGACTCGGGAATAGGGCTCAGAGATGATTGGCCCCTCCCATAAGACATAAAGGAAGAGCAAAGGCACATGAGCCTTTGCAGGAAGCAACTTTGGTCGTTCTGGTCGGTTTAAATTCTGAAGCTCCGTTTTGACTCGGTGTGGCCTTGCAAAGCTAATTGCCAATTAGGTCTTTGGCAGTGGGTCAAGGGAGATAAAGGTGGGTGCTTATCAGCCTTATCCCAAAGGATTGTGGCAAACTTCTGTTGGAGTCTTTACAAACTATTTGTGACTCATTACCGGCTGTGAATGAACATAATTCACAGTTGTTGAAATAAAAACAGGGTTTTGGGGACTAATCATATGCTTTTTACTGTCTCAGGAAGCTCCTTCAAGCTCCTTCATCACAGTGTAAGCCAGCTCAGCTCTCAGCAAAGACTTGCCTAATTTTTCTAATTCAGGGCTGGGTATCATTTGGCTAGTAAGCACCACACTCAAAAGATTTTTCAGGAAACTTACAGCCACAAAGTGGCCTCATCAGGCATGGGAGCAGAACTGTTTTAGGATTCTGGAGATGGTGTTTGTAAATGTGGTACACCCTTTTAGGTCTTACATTATCAGTTTCATCTGTTTCCCACTTCAAAAGGTTGGGAGACTGCATTGTCTGTTTTTCAGCAATTATGGCCAGAAGGAGCTTTATGGACCAAAGTAGGGGAACTCGTGCAATTCTGTTTCAGAAAAACATGACTTTTCTGATAATGATATTTCTCACAGCAATTGTCACCAGTGGAATTCCCTGCAAGAACCGAAACATCCCACTGAAATAAAATGTTCAAAGTCAAAGTAGATTAAAATTGATGAATGAAACTGCTTGGATTTTCTAACAATCGTACGAAATATTACAATAAAATCGTAACACTAGATGGGAAGCAGCCTACCTGTGCAGCTTCGTAAGTTATAGTCTTGGTCTCTGTGTGGACAATTGGAACGTCTTTAGTTGGAATTTCACTTTTCACAGTATTAGACACATCAGAGATGGTAACGGTCTGAGTTTTCACAAGGGGGGGCTACAAAATAGTTTCAAAGTAGATTTAGTCACCTCATGTGAGTATTACTTAACAGAATTCCAATGTGCAACTTATAGATGCATCATGAACTCAACTATACATCACAACTGTTATGTTGTTTGCACTCATTTGCAGAATTGTGAAAATTAAGATGAAATGCAATGATTTCACACATTTTAAAAATCTGATTGGCCAAATAATGGAAATGGATTCACTTCAGTGATCAATATTAATATTTAATGAGAAATTTAATCATAGACATCTACATATATATCTCCACATATATGCTATACCATGTAGGAAGAATATCATTTACATGCCACAGTATTTATTTATTTGTTCAAAAACTAGATGAATTTAAATTGAATGTAGGAAACCTACAGAGAGTGCATAGGCAACACCTGCAGTTTGAAATGTGAAGTCCACCAGTTTATATTAAATCACTGCCAAATCACCATTTATGAATATTCAAGTATTAAGAATAACAGGAAAAGAAAAATCAGCTGTGCCACCACCTGATAATTAACTCAAAGAGAATATAATGTTAGTAAGTGGACCGCATAACCATCATATCCCTTTGCATACCCAAAGTATCACCTTATTATCAGATTACATATTTAGGTTTTTTAGCAGATAGGATTAATAAGGAAGGAACACTGAAGCAAGCAAGCAAAAAAAAAAAATACAATAAACTGGAGGGAAATGGTATTTCCAAATCTGTTGACTCCAGACTTTGTTGTAATGAATAAAATATTAGTATTAATAATTAGTACTTAAGTTTTTCTGATATATTAAACATCTTTAGCTTTTTGAATTTCCCTTTCTTTGCACGAATCAAGAAAAAATTGTTTAATTAAGACATGTCAATTTCAGATAAGGATGAAGAAGGGATTAATAATTTATATAGACAGTATGAAATTGAATAACTGTTTAGTTTTCAGGAATTACTTCAGGACATCAAAAATTAATCCTTCTTCATGGATATGTAAATATGCTTGCTCCAGTGTTCGCAAAGTGACTCAGAAAATGTAGCACAGGCGTTTGCAAAAGATATTCTATGTTCACATTTACTACCTGGAAACAGCGAATGAGAGCAGGAAATTCATGATCAACATTTGGATTGTAATATTCTCCATTTAGCTCTCTAAGTGGCTTGCTGGTAAATTTTGTTTCTTCAACACCACAGGCTTCCTCCTCTTGCTCATGGAGGTACAATGGAGGTGAAACAGGGATTACAGATATTTCCACCTCAGCCTGTTTAGAATCCTCAGCTTCCTTTTCCATATTTGAGCAAAATCCCTTTTCACACCTTAGATCTTCCTTGCTCTCAAGAAGAGCAGTGGCACCCTCCTCTTTCTGCTCCTTGCTGCTTATTGAAAAAGAGTCTGATTCATGAATTTGTGTAGACGCCAGTGTGGTTGACATTTGGCTCTCACTAAAGCCTACTGAATGCTTTGAAACCTCCCATTCAAAGTGAGAGGCAATATTTTTCCCCTCTGTCACATCATCTGCATCCTCTTTGAAGGGACAGTCACGCACACTCTAAAAAGAAACGAATACACAAAAAAGGCCAGAAAGAATTAGGAATAGAATGCACTTCATCTAGAAAGAGTGCAAAATTTAGAATAAGACTTCATAGGGCCTGTGTACACTATTACAATGGCTGAAGATGAATATTTCAAGTGCATTCAAAAAGGCTGTATTATAGTCACTCTGACAGACAATAACAGTCTCCCATAGTCAAGGTCAAGAAGTTGTTTATATTCTCCTCTTTGTCAGAGGAATTTGTCCTGGTCCAGCTCCAAGTCTGAAGTGGGCAAAGCTACTGCAGCTTTCTCTGTAATAACAACTACTCTTTCAATCAACTAAGAAGTCATTGGACCAATCAACCAGTCTCCTGCCAGCAGGAGAATACAACTACTTTTGAAAAGGTTGAACATTCAGAGATCATGGCAGTAGACACAATCTGGTATTTGCCATTTGGAGAAGGAGGGGGTTAGCTTTTGCTGCCCCACCTGTACTATTTATGAATAGCCACTGTCCCCTTCCTGTCCTAAAGTCCTGCAAGGTGCGCTGGGAAAATATACATACATTACTCTCACTGCTTACTTGTAAAGTACAGATCTATCATATTGAAAGCTCATTATGTTTTGAAAACATAAGCACATAATTAATGCTTTCATATTGCTGAGGAGTACAATTCTAAGCACACGTTTCAATTTCTTATAATTGAAAAATAATGCTGTCCACCCTGAAGCTACAGGTATGGCTTTTTAAAGAGAAATAAAGAATTTTGTAAAATGTTCCTTTGGAAACAACAGCTTTTCTTATGGTTTATAAATTGGATTTTTCATACATAAATCTAGGAGCAATCTTAATTGCTGAAGCTCTCAACAAAGCTGAACTTCTCAACAAAGCACAACGTAAATTATTACTGACTTTTTTTATAAGAATGATCCAAATGATATAATGACAAGAAAATTCCAGGCATATAACAGAGATGATGAGAAGCTACCTCATTATTTATATATTTACAATGATGTTGCTTGCCTGAAAGTATCTGACTGCAAATGTCAAACAGGAAACTTTTGCATGCTATTTTCAACTTTTACTGTAAAATGAGTAACAGCATAATATAAAACAAAGAGATCCACTCAGCCTAATAGAAAGCAAGGGTATCTCTAGCATCAGAGCCAAGCCAGAGAATTTCACCAAGGATGATACTATACTGTCTTCCATCATGCGCCTGTTGGAAAGTTCTCAACTAGAGCATTATAAATCTCAGCAAGCTCTCCTATTACAATTTGAGGAAAGGAAGAGTAACAGAAAAAAGGCAACGATGAAAACATGCTTAAGATTAGAAATAGTATAGAAAATTTGCCTGGTCCAATCACCCACTGAATAAGATATAATGCTACTTTTAAAAGAATAAGATGTGTAGGCAAAGCCAGAAATTCATGAACCCCAGTAATAAAGCATACTTGTTTCCAAATCTAACTTTTCATATTAAGTGAAAAGCCTCAGGCAATGAATGGAATTAGTATTTGTAATGAATGACATGACTTTGCTGCAAGGGATGGAATCTTATTAAAAACATTATAAAAAGCTTGTCAAATATCCAAAGACTGAGAAATATTCTACAACAAAGTACAATTTTGACTGGAAGTGACAAGAAATCACTAAATGACTATGCAATAACAGATTATAGTTTTCTAAAAATTTGCCTTATTCAATGAGGGAAAATGAAAGCCAATTGAATAAGGGAAAAAACACTTGAATACATTGTCTACATTAAGGTAGAGAATTCTGCACTGACTAAGCAGATCAAATAGTATATGCAAAATTTTGTTTTCAAAAATCTTTTTGCTTCTGTCAAATAGTGCTGTATCTATAGAGACTATTAATATCAGCAATTAAAATTTAGCATCTATATGTCTGATAGACAAAATATTCAAATAGTATTTTGGATGAGACAAACACCAGGACTGAATGTCAAATGTGAACTCGTATTTGTACGTATGAACTTGTATTGGTTCTTCCCTTCTCCATGATTCTTTCTAAAGGTGTCTGTTCCTATCCACCCTGTATCCACCATGGTAGCAAAATGATGAATATAGATGATGGCATGATGCAAGCTTTGCCCTTCTGTATTTGTGCCATGATATCACACTCAAATATACAAAGAGTATATTATAACACACACATTATCTGCCCCTACCCCCCACCAAATCAGGATGCCTAAGACCCCTTGTAAGTAATCGGAGCTAAATAATTTAACCTATTATTTGCCATTTCTGCTTCTTTTAGCTTGAGAAGCAAACCTAAAATATGGGAGTAATTTAAAAGCTTATTTTTTCTGATTAGTGATGACAGAAGCCTCAGGTTAAAGAAATGATCAGTATTAAGCAACTCAAAAATGGCAGCTTATTATCAACATATATTAGCAGGGATGACTCAACAGTTGTGAACTGTAGACTTTGATGCAGGACACAAAAAATTTAACTATATTAGAAATAGTTTGTCAAATTCAGGGAATATTCTACCATAACTATAATTTTTATTGGAAATGCTATTTATAAAGCAAAAGCACGCTCACTTTCAAAACACAACAGCTACAGTAGTTTAGCTACATGCAAATTAGTCGAGGGATGGACACATACAGATGTATCATTTGATATGATGAATTTGTTGTTGCTATGTAGCCTTTTGGAAAGTCTCCTGTATTTTTATATTTACAGTAAACAGATTTGTTACACCAGGAATTGCCAGTCTTCCTTTTGTATTATCCACTGCTACTCAATATGCTTTCCCACATTCCATAAGGAGTTCTATTGTGGCTTTCAGAAAGGTTTGAACAATGTTTCTTTAAGTGTGTAATTCAATGGAATTAAAGATAAATTTAATGGGAAAGAGACTTTTGAATTATGATACGAGCGCTATACTCTGATATTCAAAGAGATTATATAAAACAACGTTCCAACACTGGAGGTTTTGAAGAAGAGTTTTGTTTGAAAAGGTATAGGGTATCCTGCTTGAGCAGGGGGTTGGACTAGAGACCTCCAAGGTCCCTTTCAACTCTGTTATTCTATTAGTGTAAGACTTAATTTGGACATTTCTATAACTGGATATCTGTATTTTGTATTTTAATTATTTGTATCTGATATTATTTTTTTTAAAAAAAATCTCATTGAAGAAAAAGTCCTACATCGATTAAAATGACCTGATTGTTCAGATTGCTCCAGACACAGCTGTAATAAACAGTTTATTAGGTGACGATCATAAATGTGCTGCGGATTATTTCCCTTGCCACCAACTAACCTGATTTTAATTTTTTAAGACTATTTAAAAAACAGCAAAAAACTAGCATGCTGTAAAGCAAGTGCCAGTTCAAGCATTACATTTAATTCCAACAATGCCTCTGAATCCCACATATATCCCAGAGACATTCTTGAAAAATAAAAATAATGGAGGGTTGCACCCTATTATTTTTGGGAATAACACAATATAAAGGAAGCTGAGATGAAAAAGAGCATCTTAAGAGAACAGCTGTATGAAGGACATCAATCTCATAAATCTACTTCATACAAACGAATCCATACTGAATGCTTGAGAACTAATTGGTAAGAATGGTCATAATGATGCTCTCAAAATTCCAAGTGTTTCACTTGTCCAAAAACTGGAGAACTTGGGAACTTTGTTCTAAGATACCACTTAAAATCTTTTTGATACAAGTAGACATAGGATAATGCAGCTTTTTTTGCTAAAGAAAATATGCAATGAAATTGCGGATTGCTTTTAGTGTTCTTTTGGTATTTTTGAACATCAGAAGCATTTAACGGGTGACTCAAGATAACCCCTGTATTAGTTTGCAAAAGTTACAAATTTCCACTCAAAAGCTTCTACTAATTTGCTAATAGCTCCATTATTGATACTGCAGTGAATGGAGACAGCTATTCTTGATAGGTTTTTGGATCAGGCAGAGGATCTATATTAAAATAGCATTCAAATAAAAAAAAAAGAAGGGGATAAACTAATATATAGTGCAAGCAATCAGCGATAAACCCCTTGCTTAGGGGTTTAAGCAATAAACTATTGCTTAGTGCATTGTAAGCCGCCCTGAGTCTCCGGAGAAGGGCGGCATATAAATCAAATTAAAAAAAAAAAATCTTCTGTAAAAATTTTCCTTAACAAGTGGATATTATGGGTATTTCAAGCAATGTATCAATAATATTAGATTATCCCCATACTGGAAATATGTACAGAAGCAGCTATATTTAAAATGTTTAAAATGCACAATTGGTAACATACTACACTCACCAGCAAGAATTTCCAGAGACCAACTAGTGAAAGATAATACATTTCAAAAGGGTCAATAAACTTTAAAAAGCAGCATTATGAAGCACAATGACAACATTCCAAATTTAACTTGTTTTCATTTGTACCATTCTTACATTAAACTTCAAAAGTTTGGGGGGGAAAGCAATAGACTGCCATTAATTTATAACTGCAAACTGGATGGATTTTAAAACTTGAATTACTCAATAATAAATTGAGTATTGTGGTTCTGTCTTTTCAAAATAATCAGGAATAAACAAAGGATAATTCTAATGAAACCATAAAATGAGTATTAGAAGTTTGGTTGTATGGATCAAAACCATTCTTTTAGGTATTCTGTGTTCTTATCGCAATGAAGACTTTTAGGGATAATGATAAATGATTAATTTCCACTAGTTTTGAAGTTATCAACCCTTTCCTTATTACTACATACTTAGATAGCTCTCTAAAATCTTAGGTAGAGCCCAAGTTTTTTGCCTTTCAAGATCCTTTAGCTACTGTTAAGTGAGTAAAAGGATTGTCCTGAATTATTAGTGAACAATAATCCATATATAAATAAGATACAGAAAACAGAAAATAACATTTGCTGTAATTGTCCATTCAATCACTAAATGCAGGTTGATCCAAACCTATGCATTAGCCATTTTCTTGCCTAATGTGATTTAAAAAAAATACATGTACTTAATTCAATGTTTTATAAATAATCAAGAACAAACTGAACCAAGTAATTTATGGTTGGAACTCACCCAAATGGTCTTCTCAGCCTTGCCATAGTTCATAAAGTAGTAAGATGGAAAAACATTGTCACCCTGAACTCATTAAATTTCCTTATATAACCTAACATAAAATTTTGTGGTGCCCATTTTATTTATTTATCAAATTTATATAGCTGCCCATCTCACAAAAAGTGACTCAGGAAAGTGTACAACAATTAATGGACTTGTTCGTGAATTTTGGTACATGTTTTTATATTCTACTTTCAGAAAAATTGGTAATTTAGAAATATTTTGACTGGAGGTCTTCTGGTGGTATAGCAGGATAAATAAAAACATCAAAAAGTAAAGCACTAAAAATGACACACACACACACACACACTTGAAAAAGAGAGATTAGCAGTAATGTATCGCTGATTATTTTTAAACCTATAAAAATTAAAGATATAATACATCTTACTGGTGAAATTCCATTCCATAGCCTCATCTGCAGGAACACCCATTATATGATTACTATCCATCTCACCTCAGAAGATTTGATCATACCTATGTGAGTGAAAGTGATCCTTAAAACAACTAAGTCCCAAAGTATGGAAGGCATAATTTAAACCTTCTGTTCAGAAATAGATTAAAAGACACTGTAACTGCACATATTGTATGGGTCCCAGTGTGTTACGATTCTAGAACTCTGGTGCAACTGAAGACTCCCTTCAGTAGTCTAGCCTTAAGATTATTAATCAATATACATGTGGTCACTGATACTATTTAAGCTTCCAAAGAAAGGGATGGATGTAGTACCGCATGCTAGCTATAAATGCAATCCTTCATGAGTCAAAGGTGAGTCCATGCTGAGAAGGTTAAAGGTTAAACCTTCTTTTGAGTGACTCATTGATGGTAGGTGGTTTGTTTATCTTATGTGGTTTGTATATTGCAAATACTGCTTCACCTCTTTGACTATGACTGATGGCCTTCACTCCAATATCTTAGGTAGTGTGGGAGCTATACAGAAAAATACAGGAAATTCTATAAGCAACAATATAACAGCATCACCGTCAGAAAATATCAATGTAGAGAAAAATGCAGCTATCTAAGCAATGGCTCAGACCCACATCTTTAAAAGAAGATCATGGCCCATGGTTTTGAAAGCAGGTAAGATGTCCAGAAATCAGTGGACCTATGCTTTTCCCTCAGGCTGGGGCATGTTAATCTATATAAACTTGACTGCAAAACTGAAAAAAAATAATTTTATATTTCAAAACTCTTAAAAAGATAAACACCTCGTATGTATTTTTCACCTGCGCATACAACACAAACATACTGTATATAATTCTAAATAATAAACATTTTAAAGATTAATTTTAAAATATCATCTGAATTAGTTAAACATCACTCATATTCAACTTTGCTCAATAATTTAATTGTCACACATCTCCTTTCTAGATTCAAGTTTATAGCTGCTAAGTCTGAATACTGCAATTCTGCTCTCAAAAAACTTGTGAAGTTGTCCTCAATTTATTCTAGGAGTATAAAATCCATTCATCTGTGTTTGCATAATGCAGTAATGAAGAGTCAAAGTCAGCACTTTATAATTATGTTTTAAAATTATACAAATAAATTGGATATCAAATAACTATCTTTACATCTGAGTGTTTCAAAGTTTAAGCAACATGCAAAGATTTAAATGAACAGAATATATAGTTAAATGTCAGAACCTCTACCTAAAGTAATGCTCAGTTATGTGTTAACACAACTGCAAAAACATCATGCATCAAACAGTACACACACATTTAGAACATACTAGTTTCATACAGACAGGTGTTGCAGAAAAAACAAAACAATTTACTAAATATTCCGGAGAAAAGGAAAGCACAGAAAAATTTAGGAAAAAAAATTAAAGTAATGATAAGAGAGCAATTTAAATTATAGATGACTGCTTCCAATAAGTTATTGGCTCTCTATCATTCTAATCCAATCTCAACAGCAACTAGAAGTTACAATCCTTCATTTAAGTAAAACCATAGAGGATAAATGATTCACAAATATGCATCTAGGAATACATAGGCAGACATAGTAAGAATTTACTCTACCCTTACAATTAATGTGAGGCAACAAATGTTACAAGTCCACAAGTCCACTACCCAGACAGTTCTTGAAATAAGTCATCATTCACCCCGCTACATTATATTGATACACAAATCACATTTCCCAAAGAAATGGCTTTAAGACAGAGGTGTAAAAAGTGTTTTAATAGCAAGATGTAAAATCTATTTTATAATACCAAGGAAATTAAATCACGTTGGTTTATCTGCTGTCTGGATATACATCTCTGAATTATTCTGTTTTATTTTAAATGGAAGTTGTATATTTCTTTGTTTATAGAATTATTAAACAAGTTGGAAACAGATCCAACTTTAAAAATGTCTATAGCAGGTATTCTCAGGTATACTGATTTTTTCCCCAACAATTACTGCTCCACCCCACTTGACAAGCTCCTGTGCTCAACATCCAACTTTAACAGCAAGCCTATACTAATACATGCAGACATGAGTCTTGAACATGATAGAAACCATCCAAGCAAGCATATCATTGACACAATCTGATTTTAGGGATTGCACAGTATTAAAATTTACCACAATGGAACTTGCCTGATGTTTCCTGTTATCTCTCACAAATACAAGAAGTTATGTATTAAATAATTACGCCTTTTAAAAAGCAGAATTTCTGAGAAACTGAACTACAGTCAAAAATAAAATAGAAAGAGTAAGACAGCAGCTTTAACCAGAAATCAAAGGGTGCAGTGTCTTGTTGATATTTCATATAAGCCTCTGTGTGTTCCTTAATCACAGAAAAACCAGCCACCACATAGTCATTGCAAGGATCACCAATAAGGACATCAGAAAAGGAAAGCGTGGAGAAGAAAAAATGTTAGTATACAGGTGACATGTTTTGAGTGTTTTCTGCTCCTCAGGAACTGGAATAGAAATTTTGGCCTGGATTTCTTCAGTTGCTCGATGGGGTAAACTTCCCTCGGGAACTTTCTCTTGCTTTTTAATATAGTCTTCATCCTGCACTAACAGAGGGCATTCCTGTGTCTGCTTTCATGGTAGGAGATCAAGAAAGACAGAGAGATGAACAAAATGACTGATGAAAAGTGCTCAAAATGATACTTGGGGATATGCAAGGACACAAATGATAGAAATTATCAGAATGAGAGCAAAGTATGTTTTGTACCAATTATGCAACTAATTCCTCTGTTAACCTTACAAAGTGGAAACCAAATTCCACAGAGAAATTAGCTGCTTTTTAATTGACTAAACAAATTTTGAATTGCTAATAGTTCTTTGTGCAGAAACTCATGCTAAATCAACTCTATCCATTGGTTAAAATATATATTTGAGTGTTAAAAGATATAAAATTATGTATGTAATAATAACTGTTGCTTTACAAACAGAACTGATATCATACAAAATATTGGTTGTGACTTCCTATGCTGTACTAAAATTCAAAATTGTACTTTGTTAGATCTGATATTTCAACTATAGCACAAAGTTAATTGCTTGCATACTGAAGAAAGTATTGTCATGGAAGATACCATAATGTCTACCTCCATGTTACATTGTGATTCAGGTGCAAAATATGCAGTTTCCTAAAAACAAAGAAAATGCAATGTGCATTTCTAATAGTAAGATTACAAAGAATACATTTTTATTCTATATTTTTATTTGCATATGACATCAGCGTGTAAAGAATTTAAATATGAGTAGTATTTTGCAGCATTATGTGAAAACTGAGCATAAGCTGGAGAATTCTGAAGTTGATTTTTTCCCCCATGTATGACAAATGAAAATTGCCATCTAGGACAGGAAAAATTTGGCTCTAAGCTCTCTCAGTTGATTCAGTCTCCTTTGATCAATCTGATATTTAGGGACAGAGTCTTTGCACACCCCTAAGTAATGGAGATCAGGGAGAAAGTAGCTGGAAGTCTGGGCAGCAAAATGAAATGATAAAGTATGCAAGAGTAACATGAAAATTAAAAGAAGAACATGAAAAGAGAGGAAGACAACATAAAAAGAACAGGGTAGAGTTAAACTTTCATAATTTTTCTCTCTCAAACTTTATGGCAACATCTTCATGCAACTTTGTCAACCAGCCATGCGCTGAAAAAAGCAATTGAAAAGCTGCAAAAGCTTGCAGCACTGCAAATCCACTTAAAATGTTAGATCAGAAGGCTGTGAGAGATGACATTATTGAAAAGGCAGCCCAAACAATGCTAGCAGCTGCTGTTGAGGGTTTGGGATTGCCAGTACCAATGCAGTTACAAAAATCTGCTTTAGAAGCATGTATCAAAACAGCAGCTTTACCTCTGGCCCAGCGACCTGTCTCTCACAGGGCTGAAATGTGGCTTTCTTGACCTGGACATACACAAAGTATGGAAAATGCAGTTGTATTTCAAAATAGCATAAATAGACAGATAAGCCAGAACTAAATCCTAGTTTATAGACTATTAAAATTACAATACTTAAATTTAAAAAAATGAAATTCCCTATGACTAATAATTATAATGCATCCTTCTGTTTAAGAAAGTAAGTTAAGAAACTTGGAGATGTCTGTGTTTTAAAATTAATTCTAATGAAAAGTCCACTAATACTTATTACCTGAAGTATTGAAGTTATGATCTGAGAAATGTAATTATTTTGAAATGCCCTTAAATTACATGAACTTTCATATGAAAATATATATTATTCTTGTTTAACGTTTATATAATCAGAACAAAACTTTATGAATCCAACTTTATAGCATTTTTAACAACTCTACTTTGATCAGAGCTTCAGAAGCTAATCATGAAAAGGCCTTCCATGCTGTTCCAACTGTTATTAATAATAATTCAACAGTTCCTACTTTTATCTTCCAACAAAAAAATGCAATCAGCTGCAAAATAAAATCAAAATCTTTTCTTCTCAATTTTTCATTTCTATACCTTAATAATTTTGGATATTCTTAAAGTAAGTAAACAAAACAATTCTAGATCTATAATGATTGCAAAAAAATTCACATGCTACTATAATAGCTATTTAGTTATCATGTACATTATTATTGCATAGGCAGAAAGCTATTATTAAATTCAGCTTTTTTTCACCAGCAAAAAACACAGCTTATCTTGAAAAGCTAAATACATTAGGAAATCCCAAGGTTGTTAGATATATTAGGTTTAAAAAAACAAATCCCAGAATGCAGCAATAGCCTATGATTTTCATTTTCTTTCAAAAGAAGTATATGTGTATATATGATGTATTTAATATACTGCCAATCAGGAGTTCAAAGCAATGTTATGTTCTGAGTCCAGAGCATACAAGTACTTTGATAAATAGTATCTGAGTATTTTAATGAATATTTAGATCAGATTTAATCCAACATATCTACAATTACACTGCAGAGTGTAATACCAATTATTTAAAATAAAAAAATATACTGTAATGCTTTTAACAATGCAGAATTACCATTCCAACTTTACAGTGATGGACTAAATGCCTTCTACTGACAGTAAATGATAAGTGAGACATAACACTACATACATAATTAGCATGTATGCAAACTGTCTAGTAAGTACCAACAGTACTTAGTATGCACATATGTCCAATATTATTATATTTTGTACAGTGGTACCTTGGTACTCAACTGTTTTAAAGTCAAATTTGGTACTTAATGAATTTGATATGAAAATATTGTCCAGGTACTCATTTATTTGGGGTTCAACACACAAGCTAGAACTTGCTACTCTTTCCAAGGGAAACAAAGCATCACACGTTAGTCACATGGATTTGGTGCTCATTTTTAGAACTCATTGTGCCTCCTGGAACCAATTAATGGTACCATTGTATTTTATTATTATAATATATGGGGAGGGTGTGCTCCTCTTTTGTGGCACCTGTCTCTGGGACAACATTCCCCCAAGATTTCTCACCCTGATTCTATTTAAACAAGCCCTAAAACCTGGCTCAATCCTCAAGATTTGGGTTAGTGTTGGTGATGATTCTATGACGTTTTGGGGTTTTTTAATGATTGTTTTTTTCAGGTATTTGATTACTTTCATATTTCATAGTATTTTATTGTATGGTTGTATTTTGTAAGCCACCCAGAGTCATAACTGATTGGGGAAATCTATAAATTTCATAAATAAATAAATATTATCAGACCAAATCAAGCCATGCCAAGATTTCTTACTGAAGGATAAAGAACATAAGCTATCATGCTGATTCAGTGTGGGTTGGTAGAAAGATATTTTTCGACCTCCCAGTCTAGGGATGAAGGAATTATTTCCCCTGTATCACTCATCACCCACCTGAGGTATAATGATTATATATATATCGGTCTCTCTTCCCCTCCCTCCTTCTATAATATTTTATGCTAAGACATTCCAACCCCAACATCCACAGTAACCTAACAGAAAATTGGCTTTTAAAAAGTTAATAGCTCATTCAATATACAAGAAATGCGTAATGAAACACTTAAGCAACCTTGCTTAACCTTTTGTTTACGTCCTTCTCCCCAAAGGGGAATTCCAATTCCTAGAGAATTAAAAAGTGGTCTTATTTAGAAGATCAAAGCCAAATAAATCATCAGTACTTCATAAAGTACTCACTCCTTCTACTCCTGTGGGAATCTGTCCATTGATGTTAAGCGTCCTGAAAGGAGAATGAGTAGAGAGGCGTTTGTCCCATTCACTTGGCCGTGGCTCAGGAACAGATTCCATGAAGTTTTTCTTCAGTTCACTGATGTTAGCATGATGCTTCTTTATTTCTTCTTGGGTTTTATCTAGATCCTATCATTTTAGGGAAAAAAAATCCAACACAAACCACAGAAAGTTTTACTGAAGCGAATCTACAGCTCCCCTTTGATGCTGCAGAAAATTAGTCAATTCTTTTTTTTTCCCCCTCACAGAGATAAAATGTACTAGTTAGTGCAGGATATCCCAAATAAAGCTCAACATTATTTGCAACGTTTTTTTTTTCAACTAGACTTACAAAAATAAAATCCCAATTTTTATTTCAGGAGTGGCAATCTTTTCAAATTTCCTAACTTTGGAACAGTTTCCTATTAAACATTTCCCACACTCGGCAGATATTATTAGAATCTAGAACTATTCAGTACTTTGGAGTTGATTCCAAGAAAGTGCTTCAGAACATGCCCAAGTTTATCAAGTAGTGTCTACATGCAAATGTTTAAAGGAGATGCTTCTTTTCCTGGGACAGTGTAGCTATCTTCCAGAATTGCTACACAATCATAGGAAAATATGTGGTTATTTTCAGCACTTGCAAAAGGGAGTTATATTTATGTCTCCACATTCCAAAGCATCATTTTGGAAATCAAATCTGAAACATGTCGCCTCTTTAAAGTTTCAATCCTATATTCACAAGTGGTAAATTTTATTAAGCTTGATGATACTTCTTTCTGAGCAGACTGTCATACAATAGGGAACTCAATTTGGCTCTTGTACCTTTTTTGCCTGCTGTTAATCTTATATCCAAAAAGCTTTTACCAGCTGCAGACATAACTGATTGGTGTGGTATATATCTTTGTGATTATGGTGTTACCAAAATCCACAAAGGTTAATCATTCCTAATCCTAACCCTTGGTAGGGAAAAAAATGAATGAGATTGCTGAATTAAGTGGACATAATTGACTAGTGTATAAAATTCAATGGTGGGAAAACCATTTTAGTGAGCAAAAAAGGAACAAAAGCCAACTAATTATTTTGGTTTCCATTATCCAGGATAATATGACTTCATTAGTAACTTGATTTACCTTTAATACACGAGAAAATCTCATTTGGACAATACCATTTCACTCGGATTAGAAGGTTAATATTTTTTATTAGTATGCACATCTCAGAAGCTTATCATTCATATGCTCATCGATCTGCAGGAAAGGTTTGTCTATGGATACATATATGCATGTTTGGGAAAAGATATTTAATCACAGAATGTTCAGCCAGTGACTTCATTACAAGGATTGGACATAGCCTGCACTGCTCAAGGAAGCCTTTCTACCCTGATGCTGCCATTTCTCAGGTTGACAAATGTATCTTCAGCGAGTACATATTGAATCTACGGCTTTGCACTGCAATAATTAGTCTTTTTTTATTTGACCTTTGTTCTCCCAAACAAGGAAAATCTTTGCTTTGTATAATAAAATTGAATTGCACACGTTTTCAGGTTTTGAAAAATCCTTGTATTTTACTTCTTTGTTTATTCTGGGACATTTTCAGTTTTCTCTATTTCAAAATCAAACTCAAGGCTCAATATAAGAATAATTGTGCAGCAGAGTCCAAAGAAGGGCTATACCTCATTTTATACTGTATATGTTTAACATTTTTAAGAATAATAACTCAGCTAATTTTAAAATTTTTATTGGATAGGAGCATTATTCATTTTATATTTTCATGTAAATATTTTATTTTACTATATCTGGTAAAAAAAACTTGTCTGAGTTAAAACAAACAAATGTTTGTTAAAACATGAGACCTTCCAAAAATATTATATAAAAAGAAAAAGTCATCCTGCCTTTATTGCAATATTAAGAATTCAAAAGGTTTTCTGATAAAGAGTACAAGTTATGACAATTGAGACCAAAATTTCAATTAAGAAGACAGTTGTTAAATGAGTTTTGTCCCATTTTATGACCTTTCTTGCCACCGTTATTAAGTGAATCGCTGCAGTTGTTAAGTTAGGAACATGGCTGTTAAGTGAATGGCCTCCCCATTGACTTCGTCAGAAGGTTGCAAAAAGCAATCACATCATCCCAGGACACCTCAACTATAATAACTACATTCCAGTTGCCAAGCATCTAAATTTTGATCACATGACCACAGGAGTGTGAAAAATTGTCATGTCACTTTTTTCCATGCTGTTATAACTTCAAACGGTCATTAAATAAATGGTTGTAAATCGTGGATTACTTTAGGTTACTATCAATTATACTACTGGTTTGAAGAATAGTGTGGCAATTTAAATATTAGATGAATATTGCAATCTTAAAATGATTGAAAGATATACCAAAGTTTAATTGTATCTAGTGCACTTTTAAATTCTTTTCTGTTCATCTTATTGTTTGAAAATTGTTTGACTTTATGATGGGCATCTTTGGACCAAATTTTTTCTGTTTATTAGAATTAGATGGGAACAACCCTAATGCTTCATGAACAGAATCAAAAAAGGAAAGAAAAAGAATAGCAGGCAATTATTACAATCTATCTGATTGATCTGTTATTGCCGATGGTCTGTGAATACCTGCAACAACACAGTTAGGAGTCAAACTAAATATGTGAAACAAATTAGAAAGTGGCATTGGGCTACATATTTATTCTAGAATCTGATATGGTAACAGGAGATAAAATTACTACAAAAAAGAGGTAAGTGCATTGGATTTTTAAAAAACTACCAAGAATAGATAAGAATTTAAAAAGCTGACTTATAGAGGAATTAAAATAATATAGATGAAATATTCACTGTCTTTTGCCAGATCACCTTATATTGACTGGATTTCACCATTTTAATTTTGCCCCAATCTCTGCATTATAGCAAACTCAAAGCTGTATAGCACAAAATTAAAAATTCAAAAAGTAATTAGTACATTAAAAAAAATACTGACACTGCACAAGAATCTCCTATGCTATTTCTGAAATTGTGATTAAAAGATAATAACACACAAAAACAGAATCAGTATAAGAAGCACACATTCTCCTGTATCAGTAATATATGATTGGAATGTTCAGTATATTCAAACTCATGTTCAAATGAGAGGAAAATGCAGTCAAGGCTGCCAATCTCATATATGTAACCAAAGAAATTGAAAATTCTCACTTAGAATGACCAGAAATATCAAATCTATTCAGCTTGAATAAAATAAATGATCTCGCACATCAGGAATGAAGTGATGACGTTCTACTTTCTCCTTTCAAATTTATTGGGAAGTTTAAAGGGGAGGAATTATTCTGTTTGAATGCTGTTGAGAAACTGGCCACATCTGAGATGGAAGAAACAATTACATGAATTTTTTAACTATGGACATGCTTAGTTTTCCCCTTCCCTTTCTATAAAGATATATAACCATTCTAGTTTTGATATCAACAGCACTGAAAGAAATAGAGATGGTTTACAACATGCTACCCATATGTAGGATATGGCAAAAAATACTCAGCGAGCATCGTAGTATGAGGACCAGTCATAAGTATCACTCATTCAAGCTCCAGCATAAATTGAAACATTTGCTGAATGAGTGGTCATTAAGCGAAGACAACCTGAGAAGCTTAAAAGAAAAGGCTTTGAAATTAAAACTGAAGATCAGGGCAAAAGTCTGCTACTCTGATTGAACTCATTTTATATAACTATTCTGGGATTCTAGCCTACAGAATGGCATCACAAAATACAACCTTATTTGTGTCAGTCAAATAATTGCATGCTTGGAGACTGTTATGCATAAATAATCGTGTAATGAGTTGCTAAGATTTAGAAATACATTTAAGTGAAGAATGATCCCAATCACATATTTTCAGATAACAAGAAAACAATGTAAACAGATAAGAAAAATGATTGCATAATGTCATGTTTATTGTGACATGCAAAAGCCTATTTCTAACAAAGTCATGCAAAGAGCATGCGCACACACCTCACCCCAAAAACACAAATGGTACAGCAGAGGCGAAAAGAGTTTAGCAAAGAATGTAGAGGTCCAGGCAAATGCAACTGAAAGAAGCTTCAAAGTCATACAAACCTCCAACATTAAATTGCTATGTCTTATATAAATGTTTTCACCATCTAGTCTCTTTGATCTTTTCTGTGAAAGAAAGGGGGGGAAAAACAAAACAAAAAAAAACACACACACAAAAATTAAAAAGGTTGTTCTTGCAGGTATTTGCAGATTGGAAAAAGAAAAAGGTTAAACTAACATTCATAGAGCAATGATTTGTGAATGGGGTATAGTGTATGGAATCATAAGATCATGTGGAGAATATGAGGAATGTGTGTGGTCCTGCTCATGAATGATGAAAAAAATGTAATGGATTCTTTTTAAAAAGACAGTTATCATGGCTCCATCATTCTGCAAGCTGTTCTTCCACAGAGACACAATATTTCCAAAAAAAAGTAAGAAATTAGAATATAGCTATGCAGAACACTGGAAATGTCTTCCTGGCTCTCTAGTGTACATAAAAACATTTTTGAAACTAGTATTTATTAATACATATTTCAAAATTTAAATACATCTATTTACCTTTATTACAGTAATACTTGTTTTTTACTTCTTGAATTGTTGACTCCTCATAGAAAGTTTTTTGCAAAATAATTAGGAAATGAGAAGTATAAAGAAGAAAACTTTTACTAATTCTTTAGCTAATTCTGATTTTGTTTATTTACAAACAAGTATCAACTGATAAAAGCACAGAAAGAAACCAAAATATTGTCTTTTTAAGTAAGTTGCATATGCATGAGTGATATAATTTTGTTTTGATGGAAGTGAAAAAAAACCAGCTAACCTTCCTCATTCTTATCGGGTCTTCCTCTTTTTCTGCACGCTGCTGTTTTATGATAGTTTTTTAAAAAAAGACAAAAAAAATTGGGTTCATTTATTTTGATTTGATTTAGCCTTTTTCCCCCTTTTTCTTTTTAAAGAAAGCAAAGCAACCTAACCAGACAAACCTGATTTTGGTCGCCATTTGTGCTGGGTATTGACATTTTTATATGCATTTTCCCCACCTATGTTAAAAAATAAAGTGGCAAAAACATTTTTTGTTAGTAGAGGTTTGGGGATAGCATTGCTTCAAAAACTACCATTTGTTTTTGAAGCATTGTATAAGCATGCATTAATTAACATGCACTCTTATGAAGACATAAATAAACACCATACTTTATAATGACAGTTTGTTAGTCCCATATAGTTGATGTTATTTTATTCAGCATTTTGAATTCTTCAAAACAATTTTATTGTAAGTATAAATATATAAAGAGGCTTAAAACATGTTATACAGCTGTATACTTCAAAAGGTCTCTTCCAACTTTTCTCTTCTTGTTATTTCTGGCTGTGATGAGCTTCTAAAAATCACAAGAAGCATGAGAAAATCTCTACATTGTATTTAACTTGTTGCAATGAATGTTCTAAATGAATTGGGGTGATACTTTGGAGCAGTAATTGAGGAAATCGATTAGATTGCAATTCATTCCTTACAGAGAAATTTGCTTGAGAAGGAATTGTGCTGGTTTGACCAATGTGAAAGTCTAACAGAGAACAAGCACAGGGCAGGGTAGCAGGTGTGGAACAAGGAATCAAGAATCAGTAGAACATCAACTGAATGAGAAACTAGGTATCAGAGCAGAAGCAGCCAAGAAGGTACTAGTCGGAAAAAAGAAATCCAAAAAACTTAGTGCATAAGATGAACAGAGGCAATACATTTGAGCTATAGGATAAACAAAAAAGTTTTAAACCAAACTGTTTATACAAAGTGTCTAATAGAAGTGAGGAAAGGATGAAGGAAAAAGGTCCCAGCAGGGTATTTCTATTAATTTTGGATTTCTTTGTTCTTACACATATAGCCTTGGCAATTCTCATAAAGTGATATAATCATAGACTGATTATATCAAAGTATCAATATGCAGAAAAAAGAACTTAGCCAGAAATTTTTGTTACATGTTTCTTAAAGATGCTTGCAAGTTCGATGTTTGAATTGGGTGAATTATCAATTATGCAGCTATTAAATATAGGAGACAGCGCACACTTTTTTCATTTTTAAACAGTCCAAGGTTTTAAACCAACATTAAAACGTTAACATATTGCTCAATACTGATAATAAGCAATAGCAGACTATATTTCAACTGTCAACTTTAATACAATATTATAATATGATATTAGCTGAACTGAACTATACCCATTTGTTGTCAGTAAATCCTGCTGAAACCAATTGGGTGCATTTTTAAATATAAGAATATGGGATTTAACTGCAATAAAACCAAGAATAAGTTTATTTAACCAAAATTAAATTTTAATATATTGTTTTAGACATTTTCATGCTGACGTCTGGATTATAAATAGGATTTTCTATTTTTTTCTCTATTAAAAGTCTGAGGAATGGAATTTGAAGAAAGAGAAAACCACAGGCATCCATACCAATTACTGTAATTTATCTGTAAGGAATTTCAGGGCACAATGAAAAAGCCATCAAAAGTAAGAGTTAAGATACAGAGCAAGATAATAAAACATTACTAGCACAATAATAATGTATATAACAAACTCTTTAGATCCCAGTTGAAAGATAATATATCTAAAATAATGTCTCATTTCACATATTTAGGGCATAACACAATGCATGATGTTACATAACTTTTAGATTTTCTCTTGAAGAGACTCTCAAGCAAGTCCTTTATAGTGTTATTGAAAGTTAAATGCATATAGTTGGAAAATGTCTTCTAGCACAGCATCAGAACTTAAATACTTATCCCCGCCTATTGATTCCTATTACTGACACACTGCATGATGAAGAAATTTATCTTAATAATCATTATCAGTAGTTCCATTCCAAACGCTGAATTCACTTGCATCAATGACAAGAATTAACTAACTGCAGCTGAGCCATACTTTTGAAGTAATATGTTTAAATCCTGTATTGACTTTTAAACATTTGGATTCTTTTGGAGTTGGCACACATAATAAATCAAATAAATAAATCAAGGACTGGATGGATTATACCCCAAGGTTCTGAAGGAACTGGCATCCGTGATCTCAGAACCACTGAACTATATCTTTCAAAGATCCTGGGCACTGGGGAACTGCCAGAGGACTGGAAAAGACCTGATGTAGTTCGCATCTTCAAAAAAGGAAAAAAAAAAATAGATCCAGAAAACTACAGACCTATCAGCCTGACCTCAATACCTGAGAAGATTCTGGAAAAGATAATCAAGCAACGAATCAGCAAACACCTAGAAGCAAACAAAGTAATAACCAAAAGCCAACATGGGTTTGTCAAAAACAGATCATGCCAGACTAATCTTATTGCATTCTTTGACAAAGTGGCGATATAATTTACTTGGACTTCAGTAAGGCATTTGACAAAGTAGACCACAACCTACTACTAGATAAAGTAGAAAAATGTGGGTTAAACAGCATCACCACCAGATGGATTCGTAACTGGCTGACCAACCGCACTCAACATGTAGTCCTCAATGGAACTGCATCTACATGGAGGGAAGTATGCAGTGGAGTACCCCAAGATGCAGTGGGGTAAATCTTCATCAACGATTTGAATGAGGAGATAGATGGGGAACTCATCAAATTTGCAGATGACACCAAGCTGGCAGGAATAGTCAACACTCCAGAAGATAGGCTTAAGATACAGAAGGATTTTGACAGACTTGAACATTGGGCGCTATCTAACAAAATGAAATTCAATGGGGAAAAAAGGAAGGTTCTTAGACAAGAAAAACAAAATGCACAGGTACAGTATAGGTGGTCCCTTGCTCAATAGTGGTAACTATTGGGATCTTGAAATCCTAGTGGACAACCATTTAAATATGACCCAGCAATGTGCAGCAGCTGCCAAAAAAGCCAACACACTTCTAGGCTGCATAAAAGAGGGATAGAATCAAGATCACGTGAAGTGTTAATACCACTTTATAATGCCTTGGTAAGGCATTTGGAATACATACTTGGAATACTGCATCCAGTTTTGGTCATCACAATGTAAAAAAGATGTTGAGACTCTAGAAAGAGTGCAGAGAAGAGCAACAAAGATGGTTAGGAGACTGGAGGCTAAACCATATGAAGAACGGTTGCAGGAACCGTTAAACTATGTCTAATCTAACGAAAAGAAGGACTAGGGGAGACATGATAGCAGTGTTCCGATATCTCAGGGGCTGCCACAAGGGGGGGCGGGGGGTGTCAACCTATTCTCCAAAGCACCTAAGGGCAGAACAAGAAGCAACGGGTGGAAACTAATCAAGGAGAGTCACAACTTAGAACTAAGGAGAAATTTCCTGACAGTTAGAACAATTAATCAGTGGAACAACTTGCCTCCAGAAGTTGTGAATGCTCCAACACTGGAAGTTTTAAGATGATGTTGGATAACCATTTGTCTGAAGTGGTGTAGGGTTTCCTGCCTAAGCAGGGGGTTGGACTTGGTCCCTTCCAACTCTGTTATTCTAAATCAAATCAATCAATCAAATCAATCAATCAAATAAATAAATAAATATTATTAGGACAGTCTGAATAAGTAAAAGCAACTCTATGAAAATACAGAAAGAGGGAATTTATAAGCAACTATTTTTTAGTAATATATTTCATTCATCATTGATGATTAAAATACAAATGATTGTTCAAGCAATCCAATTTGCCACTTATAGTGTCAATCTGATAGACTTCCTCACAATTCCTTCAAATTCCAAGAAGTGCAGTGAATGAGTATAGAAACTTTGTAAGAAAGTTAAAATATAAGTTGAATATAACTTCGAAGAAGAGCCAAAAGGTAGGTAAAACTGTCTCTAATTGCAGCTAGAGATGATGGGTAACTGTGTGAAAAAAAGAAATGACTACAAGTTAGTATGGTTTTAAGATCTCAAAATGAAAGAAAAAAAAACTATTGGAAAGCAAAGTTTAGGAAGTACACTGATCAACACAATCAGAATTATTTAGTTAGAAGGAAACCCTGAAGAATGTTTGGCTTGAAACTTTCTTAGGTTGTGAAAGCACTGCTTGGAAATCAGTGTAATTTGCCCTTTCACCTTTAGTCTGAGGATAAAACCAGAATAAGTGGTAAAATACTTTTCCAGGCTGCCTATGCAAGTGATTTAACTACGAGTGGGATCAATCTTTTATTTATTCTAAAACAAACAAAACCATCTTACCAATAATGATAAAAATGGTGGACGATCATACCTGAAATCCTTCAGCTGGTTCTGCTTTGGCTTTATCTTGCAAAGTTCCTTCAAGTTTTACTTCTTTTTTTTCTGTTTCCTTTTCAGTTTTAAGAACTGCTGGTTCTTTGCTGATAGATGCAACTGGTACAGTTGGCTCAGTAACATGGCTCTGAGCAATAGCTGGTGCAGATGTAGGCCGCGGGCTTCTATCAGGTGTAACCACTGCTACTGCTAAGCAGAAATAGATACATCTTCAGTTATAGTACAGAACAGAATCAAGAAGAAAGCCACAACACTACAAAATAAAGATACGCAAAGCGATTGGCATGTCTAAAGCAGAATTTATTTTTAATAATGCATGAAGAAAAATGTTAAAGAAAACATTTAATACCACCAAGAGCCACACATTTAATGTTAGTGAACAATACAGTACGTAAAAAAACTTCTTATTTCAAGAGACACTGTACAAAGTAGGTAACTGGTGCAAATAGTTATCACAGGCAATACATCATCACCTAATTACTGCTGTTAATTATAGTGATAAATGCAAAACAAGTCCACTTGAGTTACTGACAGACATAGAATCCTTACTATAAAGATTAAACTAAATAAATTAGTATTTTTGTTTCAAAGGGTGGCCCAATCGTAACACTGGCTTTTTTAAAAGCAATTTTCACAATTATATCCTGTGTTGTGAGAATAGTATGAAAAAGTCCAGATTACATGACAAGAGTCTTTAACAGCTTTCTCTCTTTTAAGTGGGACAGTGAAACACACTGTAAATTGGATCACCTCAGATGCAACAATACATTCAGACTGGGTCCTAAGAAAACTAAGCAAAAGAATGAGCAGCAATAGTACTTCATGCTACATCTATATTAATTTATTTTACATACTCATTACTATTCAAAATGTTATCCCCAAAATTATATTGCCTCAAGTTTGATATTTTCAAAATCTAATTTAAAATTGAAGTACACATTTCATCAATTAAGTATACTGTACTTGATCAACGTCAAATGATATTACTCAAGCTAAAAAAATTATCTTTGATACTATCTCTTCCATATCTTGTTTTGGTTCTTTAATGCTGATCTGGCACTACTAAAGTCCTCCTAATTTGCAAACACATATATAGGTACTCCTCAAGTTAGGACCACAATTGAGCCCAAAGTTTGTTAAGCAATAACTGAGTTTTGACCCTTTTTACGACCTTTCTTGCCACAGGTGTTTATTATTTATTTATTTATTTATTTTATTATTCATATTTTTATGCCGCCCACTCTCCGAAGACTCTGGGCGGCTTACACCAAAGACAGTATACTAAATAGCATATTGCCCCCAACAATCTGGGTCCTCATTTTACCCACCTCAGAAGGATGGAAGGCTGAGTCAACCTTCAGCTGTGAGATTTGATCCACTGATCTGCTGAACTAGCAGTCAGCTGAAGTAGCTGCAGTACTGCACTCTAACCACTGCACCACCTCAGCTCAATTAACTGAATCAGTGTTAACTGACTCAATGTTAAGTTAGTAATATGGGTGTTAAGTGAAGCTAGCTTCCCCATTGATTTTGCTTGCTAGATCACAAAAGGTGATCCCATGACCTCAGGACACTACAATAGTCATAAGTAGATGCCAATTACTAAATGTCCAAATTTTGATCATGAGACCACAGAGTTGCTGCAAAGATTATAAGTGTGAAAACGGTCATAAATCACTTTTTTCAGTGCCATTGTAACTTTGAACAATAAAAAAGAATATTTATAGCTCAGGGTAGGCATGAGGGGTCCTTGGTACTCTGAGTTTGCTTGTTTTCTTGCAGATGTTTCATTAACCAAACTAGGTAACATCATCAGTGTGCTGAATGAAACATCTGCAAGAAAACAACCAAGCTCAGAAAGCACAAGGACAGCTAACTTTGAACATTTCACTAAACAAATGGTGTAAGTGGAAAACTACCTGTACTTCACTTCCTTTCCCTCAATATGGATCTATTCCATGCTACCACTCCTAGTTCATGCTCATTCACACTGGCAATGTTCCAGAGAGGAGGAAAACAGTGGAAAACATGCATACTATCAAAATTGGACTAAACCATATATAAACTCTTTTAGAGCAGCTTTAATTGTGAATGCTCCCGTTCACAATTTCAAGTCTATCAGATAAATATATTAAGCTTAGAGTATTAAACTCTACCCGTTATGGTACTATTTTGTGTCATACTACTGGTAAGTATTGTTATAATAAGTCTATTGAATTATTAGATAAATTAGAATGAATATTAGTCACTAAGGAAAATATATTAGTCACAAAATATAAGAAGTTGTTACTGCGATACCTGACTCTTCCTGAATTGTTTCAAGTAATAGCGATTTTGGCTCTAGATCCTGTACAACTGATTTTTCTTCTTTCTCCTCTTCTTTTATTGTACTTATGTCAAGAACATGCATAGCTATAAAAGTTATGAATGCGTTTTAAAACTTCAAAGAATTAAAAAGAGAATTACTAGGAGCAAACTTGTAATAGAATTTTGTCTCTTCTTCCAAGCTCACTCATAGCTGTGCCCAGCTATTTTTGCATGCAAATACATGCACAGACACATTGCTCCGCATTTTTTTCTATTGAAGCAGTCATTCAGCTCTAGAAAAAAAATGTGACTGCTTCAAAGATATGAAGTGAGCTTGTAATCTGTCTTTAGATTAGATCTAAATATAAACAACCTAATTATTCTACTTGCTTTCTCTATCCAACTTGATAAATGATTCACTAGTACTACTACTGTGTATAAACGATAGAATGCAAATTTAATATCACTGTTCTAACAACATGTTACAATTTTGAAGGTTGCTACTTGTTACCATTCTGTTACCTGAACACACAAGAAGAACAAGGGGGATGTGTTTATATATGTAGTATCCTGCTTTGTTTATAAAAGGATACTGTTCTCCCATTAAATTTCTTCAGTCTTATAATATGAACTGTTAATAATATACACAAAAACTGATACTTCTATTCTCAAAAATCTAATTAGAAGCTGAATTATACAACAGGAAATATCTAACAATAATCCTATTTCATCTGAACAATATTAAAATAAACTATTTAGCAAATTGCTCTAAATATGTCTTAGCACTTAGCACTTAGAAGAATGACAAAATAAAACAGCATTGTGAAAGCAGCAGAACTGAGACTAAATTCAATGCCTTAAATGTGCTCTGAAATGTTTGTCAGAAGTAATCTAACTTGCTTTGTACAGGCTTTCCAAGACAGATTATACTATTATAGACAAACATAATGTTTTTAAAAATAGGATGAAATCCTCATGAAAAATAATGCTTAAATTACAGCAAAAAAACCCCCAAAGATATCCTAAATTTGAATATAACTTTAGGACTGCATAAATAACATTTCCAGCATAGCAGTTGCTACACTATCCATTCTGAAGAATATAGCTGGCCTGATATATTGAAGAACTCTTTTGCAAAGTATCTTTTTTTTATTTTACAATAGCGAATACGGAAAGTGGTTCCCCTTCAGTCATCTGACACCTTAGAACCAAACTATTTTCTCAAGCAACTGAGATTTGTGGCTTTATTGTTGATGCAAGAATCCAAGTATTAATATACAGGAGGGACTTTGTGTTCCAATCATTGAAGAACTCATTTTATTCCTTTATGAAATTGGGGGGAGGGGAATTTCCTGGGAGGAAAAATATACCCCAGAAGAACATGTGAAGCATTTCAGAATCAGGTAAGATGTCTCAGCTCTCAAAAGGATAGAAAAAGCAGCGCAGAGACAGGGACAGAGAGAGAATCAGTGCTACCCACAGCGATACCTGGCTTCTCCTGAAATTGTTCCACGGGTTCTGATTCCGGAACCCCAACCAACACCACATCCTCCTGCTTCTCCTCCTCTACGAGTTTGAACTGAATTTTTTGAGAGCCACGTTTAGCTGAAGAAATTTTGCACATGTTTAGAATATACAAAACATTGTATATAGAAAAGAAGTTGCTAGATTTCAGTATGGATACAACTGCTTTGTTGATTTCTTCAATTTTATATTCAGCTGCCTTCAGTTAAAATTATCTCCAAATTTGAAATGGTTCTTAAAATTCACAATTGATGAAAGTTCCTAAATTTAATCCAGGATTTCATTGCTTGTATATGAAGCATCATAAAGAAGAAGCATTGTTAAGTGTTTAAGGAAGATTTAAAAGCTACTTTTATGAACATTTTAAAATTGTTTGTCTTCATATTATGTCACCAACATGGAAGTCTTTTCCTGAGGCATTCATGTTACATAACAGAAGAAACAATGAGTCATACAGGAGATAATAGTTATTTCCTCATGACCTCCAGAACGTGGCAAAATAACAGAGTTGCGGTAACCAGGGTATGGTAAGAATCAGATGCCAGTTTTCATTTCCACATTTTTTTCAAACTTCCCATGTGAGTCCAATACCATTTTTAAATAAATCAATTACTACACACGTAAGGCAAATCCAACTCAGTAGAATCTGTAAAGAACCAACTTAAACTGGAACTTATAGTAAAGAGAATAGGGTACTCACCACCATCAAGGCTTCTAGAAGCACGTTTACTTGCTGTTCGTTCAAACTGAGGTGCAGGCCTATCTATGAGGGCACTAGCTTGCCTGGTCTGAGCTTGTGTCCGGCCACTGTAACGAAATTTAGAACCCAGCACCAAGAATCTGCTCTTGGGGAGCGCTTCAGTTGATGTTAATCTAAAAGATACATGAATGTTCTAATGTTATTAATTTAAAACCCAGGGATATGTTTCCAATTCAGATAAAATGACTGCCACTCAATAGCGAGCACTATCTTAATTGTATCTTTATTTTATTGACTTATAAGTGCCATTCACATCCATCAGCAGGAACCCCAAGGCTGTGAAGCTGTGAGATAACAAATGATCAGAATTCACTCTGCTTTTTAAAGGTAAATATAGATTTGAATGAGATTTTCTTCATTCGGGCAGCATGTGTGACTGTTGCATTTTTTTTTCTCTAAAATTTCTGTTTTCCAATTTGTAAAAAAATTTACAGATTTGGCTTCACTGATTTAGTAAGAGAATTTCTCATTAAATTCCCCATGTGTAAGATTGCATAGGACTATAGCTTTCCCTTATAAAATAAGCACAATTTCTATTAAGTTCTGTAATTGTGGGCTTTGGGCAAGACATTTTAAAGTTCCCCCTTTCCAGTTTTCTATGCTTAGCTAAAAAGGGGAAGTGTTTGATAGAAGAAAGCTTTCTTATTTAGAGAAACTTTGGAAATGGGCTACCTCCAGGCTTGTATGTTCTGAAATAATGGAACATTATATGTAACAAATTAGTTAATTTTTATTATGAAAGAATCTGACTGTTTACATTTAGTTATTCATTTATGAATATAGACAATGCTTGAACAATTTTATGCTATTCAAAGCTTTGTGCTCCTCCCTTCACCTGCTGCCAATGTACTGGCCTTTGCACCTGTTATTTTCTACTATGGTCTCAGCAGTAAAGAACGAGCCTCCCGATCATCCCAGCACTTCTGTTTTTCTCCCCTTAGCAGCCAATGTCCTTGACTATTTCCCATTTTTATGCCATCAACCATCAATCAACTTCTCTCTGAAGTGACTGCTTTTTGCTCCATGTTAGTAACAAAAGTTCAATTTTATTCTACAAATAGACAAAATAATTTAAAATACAGGTAGTTTTTGCCTAATTATGTTAATACTTGAAAAATCACATGACTGCATTTTTTTAGTGTCAACAGTCCAGTTGTCATCAAGTGAGGACCGTACAGCTTGCTAAGGGAGGACTTCATGTGACAGTGACTTGCAAGTTCCCGCCGCCTTCCCCATTGACTTTAATAGTCCTAAGGTGGGAAAGGTCACAAATCATGATCACGACAGCTAGAAACTGCAATGGCATAATTGTGAGTTAGCCAAGTACTGAGATCACCATCACATGACCATCGGGGTGCTACAATAGCTATTAAATATGAGGATTAGTTGTAACTGCTATTCGATTAGCGCCATTGTAAGTTTGAATGGTCATTGAAACCATATTTGATCTCATCTAGCTTAGATCAGAAGTGGAGTTAGTAGATGTAACAGTAACAGAGTTGGAAGGGACCTTGGAGGTCATGTAATCCAACCCCCTGCTCACAGGAGACCTATACTAGGGATTTGAACCGCCGTACACCTATAAACACCATTTCTTAATTAGCCTGCAATAAAAAATACAAATGCAAACCTGAAAAATGTGTGGTGTTCAACACAGACTTTCCACAATTTCTTAGCTGCTCGGTAACTAGGAAGTTTGAAGCCAATAGTACTTTCATATTGTTCATGCTATGGAAAATAGTAAGAGTAAGTTTGATTGGCACAGAAGTTATGCACTGGATTAAATTATTTATTAAAGTTAAAAAATATTTTCATTGGATTTTTAAAAAGAAATAACCATTGACCAAAGCCAGTAAATTTCATTTAATTTAAGGTATAATTGAAAAAGTTACCCAATCATCATCAACTAAAGAAAGCAAATTATAAAGGAAATGAAAAAAACCAATGGGGAAACAGGACGGAAAGCCCTGGTAAAAATAAAATAGGGAAGAAAAGGACCAGTCACTCTTTCTTGGCTCAGCTCACCTCACACAATGATTGTGGAGAAAATAGGAGTGGGGGGAGCAAATTAGTAAAATATAGAAAATAAAGTAAAATCCTAAAAATAGTTTTTAAAAACTTTCAACTATGTGGCTGCATTAAAACTATAATGGGTTGATTGCATTATGTAGCTGTTTCTATAGCAAATTGAATACTTCATTCTAACCATTTAGCAAATCAAATAATTTATGAAAAGTTACCATACTCCTTTCACTAGGATTAAAATAGGTACAAACCTAATTGAAGTGATTAAAAATACCATTCTTAAAAAGCATTTTCCCAACGGAGAAAAATGCAATATGATTTTACATTAAAATCACAGCATGAATTGGTCAAATTGCAATACAAGATGATGTTTTTTAAATGCTGACAAGAAGTGCAGATTTACTGGTAAAATATGCTATTATCAATAGAAATATGTATATCAGAAACATATATATCTGAACCTAAAATGAATATTTACTCTTTAAAGCTGATATAACTAATAGCAATATCCACATTAGAGCAAGAACTCTGAATTCACCCAAGACGTGTTCATTTGATGTAGATTGGTGTATGTCTAACATAAAATGCAACAGTGTATTAAGTGCTTCTAATCAACAAAGCCACGTTTCAAACCATCTGCACTATTCAACCGAGGTCCAAAGACAATTCCTCATAAACCGCCTCAAAGGAAGTAAGTCATAATCCACCAAATTATGCATGATTGTGGATAGACTTTTGTTTAGCATCCAGATTCAGTTGTTATTTGAAAAACAGTTTATCCTTAATGTTTCTCAAAGATAAGAAGACAAATGCATTCAATCAGAACTAAAATAAAATGACTCCATAGCCTACCTCGCCAGGCCGGATCTTGATAAAAAAGCTGCTGCGCTTGTAAGAAATCTTTAACACTTTGGGCCAAGGAAAACGGTTGATTCTCAATTTATCTTTGTAGACAAGAAGACCACTGGAACAGACTCCTAGAGTGATGTCTACACCTTCCAAGTCCTATGAAAAAAGAAAATAGGATATAATAGTCATGTGTTCCTATTTCAACATTAAAAACATTAATATTTCAACCTTAGAAAAATTAGAGGACTCAGATTATTGGGGGCAATATGCTGTCTCATATTGCTGTCAATATGAGAAAGTGGAAGAGGTAAAAAGGAAAAGGTAAGAAAAAAAATATTTAAGGAAGTGACTTTCAGTCTTCATTACAAGTACAAACATACTTGGTGATTCTTTACCTCCCTATAAGGTTACATATCCCTTGTCCATATACAAAACCCATAAATCACTAACATTTCAGTCTTGATGTCAGCAAAAACTCGATAAAGATACCCATTTTATAGAAACATGTCTTAGTTTAATTTTGGTTGAACAAACCAACTTTTTACTCCTTCCTTTGGCTTCAAGCAATCTTGATCTTTAATTCATTCAAATGAATTATCTAACAATCTACTAAATCCATAGAGGCAGAAATCATTGCTGATATTTTAGCTGCTAGTTTGGGTGCCCAGTCTTCAAATATCTCTTGGGGTATTTCTATTGTCATACTATTTTCTATTATTTTGTCTCACTTTTTTATTCTTTTTTCTTTTATGTCTAGAATCTTTAATCCCCATCTAGCCCAATTTCTAAATTCTAAAATCATAGTCTCACATTTCTGTTGTGACTTAAGGTAGGTTGCACAATTTAGTTTTAACGAAGGGATTATTTTTTTATAATTATTTCCAAAACCTTATGGCAAAACTCCTAATAATCCATATTTGTCTGGTTCCTTATTTCATTTATAACATTTTTGGATTAAAGTCTTATTTTGCTTTTGCTATTTCAAATCCTTTAATTCTTAAGCTTTAACTTTTTTTATTCTGGAAAGATAAACTCAACAGGTGGCTTTGCAAACTTGTAGTTTTTAAGATCTCTAATACTCTTAAGACAAATAGGTAATTTTCAAAAGTGATTAGAAAGTGAGGTTAGCAAACTTTTAAAAGGCTCCAATGTAGATGTGTATTGCCTTTCCTTTGTTTCTCAGTGCTCAAATCCACAAGAAATCACTTTCCTGTGGTTTCCTCTCAAGCAGGCTATCTCTCATCTGCCCCTTAGCCAGAGAGGTTCCATGGTACCAGTCTATTCACCAGTACTTCAGTTAGTCATGATGTCATCTCTTCTTGTTCAAAGATGTGTCACAACACAATTCCTCATCAGAAGTCTTCTCAACATTAAAAATGCTTGACTCTATCCATGGCTTCTGTACTAGTTATTTTTTAATTTCTTCTATATACTGTTCTCTTGACAAAATTCTGACCTGGGTAAAATGCTCTCTTCAAATACAGTTCTCCATTAAATGTTCCATATTTTTATTGTATTAGCCTTGATCCAACAGGATAAATATAATTTCAGACACAATTGTTTACATTCATGCAAACATATTCCCCCCAAAATAAAAGCTCTCTCTTCATAATTGTCAAGTCGTTTTTCAGTGTTTTCACCAAAGGCAAAATCCCTCCCAAAAGTTCCTAAATTTAATCCAGGATTTCATTGCTTGTATATGAAGCATCATAAAAACAAAACAGCATTATGGAAAGGGCCAACTCTCTCTCTTCTGGCAAAGCTCAGAATGTTTCCATCCAGTGGGAAACCATTCTTTTCTGAATTAGCTCTACGTCCTTTTTGTTTAGAATACTCAAGAGTACAGACAGATGGGTGCCAGAATTAGTATGGTTAGATTATGTGCAGGAATTCAGAGTGTGTAAAAAGACAAATTCTTCCCGTCTCCCATACTCTGGGGCCTGCCTATTAAATAGTGCCATCTGGTGGGTCCCAGGAAGCAAGCTTTCTCTGTTACAGCATCTGCTCTTTTGAACACCATATCCCCTGGATTCAGAGAATCCCAAATCCTGCTAGTATTTCTAAAAAAAAATTGAAAAATTGGCTCTTTCCTCAGACATGGAATCTGGAGGTTAGGTGAATCTATTGCAGTAAATTGTTCGTTGCTGTTGCTGCTGTTGTTATTATTATTGGAATTGGGCTGGCTTTTGGTCACCACTACTTTCTTTCTTACTTTCTTATTTTGCTCATTGTATTTGTTTGATTTTAATTCTATGTTTACCAACCAGAGTTGCAATTGGGTGTGATATATAAGTAAAACATATTAAAGAATGGAAATATTATAAACAAATATATTCTTTTACCTTGGCTTGATGAAGATCAACTCCATACATTGACAGCTTTTTAGCATTCTCAAGAAATTCCATATCAGCCTGAGCTGGACTCATAGATCTATAAACAAATAGGTTCCAAAATAGCATTTTAGCAGCACTTAAAGTGTATCCTGGGTTTACTGAACCATGAAAATTTAATTAAACTTGTTCACAATTAGTTGAGTTCACCCAAAATATTAAGTTTATTTTCATTTTTAATTTTCAAGAATAATTTACTTTAACTTTTAGAATAATTGTAGAGGCAGTTATAATGATAAATTATAATCTGAGTGAAATCAATAATAAAAGAGCCTTGGTAGTACAAGGGTTTAAGGCACCCTGTTATTAAGCTGCTTAAGACCAGCTGCCTGCAATTACTGCAGGGTTCGAATCTCGCCAAGGCTCAAGGTTGACTCAGCCTTCCATCCTTTCTAAGGTAGGTGAAATGAGGACCCAGTTTGTGGGGGCAATAAGCTGACTTTGTATAAAATATACAAAAGGATGAAGGCTATTGCTGAGCACATTGTAAGCCGCCCTGAGTCTTCGGAGAAGGGCGGCATATAAATCAAAATTAAAAAAAAATAAATTAAAAAAAAATAAATTATCACTGTATCCATGTTCTAAAGATATTCATATTTACACACACACACACACACCTTTAATGGATTATACAACACTTGATCAATGACAGGTTTAATACTCACTTGTATGTTTTATGTAATTCTGTGATCTTGTCTTCTAGTTCTTTTGTTTGGTTTGGGGCCAGTTTAAATTCACTGACATAATCTGCACCATGTAGATCTGTATCATAGTCTCCTAACTCAGATTGGATTGTGTAGGAACCCAGCAAAGCTAACGTAGCAAAGGAGCAAGGAAGCCGCCCATTAATAATATCTTTTCTTAGCTGGAGACACAAATAATACCTGCAAAATACAAACATCATACCAAGGAGTTCAAAGATTCAATTTCATCAATACCCAGCAATGACTAGAACTACAAAAGCACCTCTTCACTTGCAACTGTCTAACTAAAAAAATCCACCACATGGATTGAAAATTATTTCAGTTTTAAAGAAAGCTTCCTAAAACCAAGTATTACTTGTTTTTGGCATAAGCATGATAAAAGATAAAATTGCTCACTCTGGACCTTATGGAACTAGCACAAGATCAGCATTATGTAGCAGAATTTTATTATTTTCCTCTCTATTATTTGCAGATGATGAATACAAAAATAAAATAATTCTCTCACGAAAAAAAACAGGACAAATAAGGCATGTGTAATGAAGCCAAGTTCACCATTAAACCAACACTATATCTGTCTTCCAAAGACTGATGGGCTCATTAAATTGTTTTACCTATTCCCTTATACTTGTGTCCTGATTACATCTTTTCCTGCAGATTGAGGAGCACCAGTTAAGACTTCTCTTATATATTTTATTTATTTATATTTATATAAATATTTTATATATACATTATCCAAAATCAAGTATTTTAATTTGTTTGTTATTTTTCATTTTCTATAAGTTTAAGATAGTGTTACTTGACCTTAGAAACTTTAAGATGTGTGGACTTCAATCCCCAGAATACACCAGTCAGCATGCTGGTTAGGGAAGAGCTAAAATCTACAAATCTTTAAAGTTGTCAAGGTTAAGAAATAGTGATTTATGGATATCACAAACCTTGTTATATCTTCTGTTAATTGTGCTGGGTCTGGAGGATAAAACTTGACATTGAAAGTGAAAATCCATGGACCTCCTGAATTTAAGAGAGGTTTTTTGGTTAATTTGCAATAGTTGGCAAATTGTTAAATTATCAATCTTATCATCAATTGACTAAAGGGCTAACAGACATTAAAAGAGATCTGGAAACAACAAGATCTCCACTCCTTCCATCAGTTTTGCTATAATTCAGTAAGATATAGAAGTAACACATTATAAACATAAACATTACAAGCAAAATTTCTCCACTGTATTATAGACCAAAAATAAATTACAACTAAACAACAAACCTGGAATCTCTCTGCCTTTAAAAAACATATCTTAATCCTATTCCTACCAGCTGTAATATCGCAACTTCAATTCCTAAAAGTTAAAACAAAGTCACCTTCAAGGAGTCAACCAAATGTATAACATTGGCTTGTAACCAGACTCCGATCTTTTATAAGGAAAATAAAGACCAATCTAAACTGGAGGGGTCACCATTCCAACAACTCGTATGACAAATTGCTGCAAAAACTGTACTTTTTTTTCCTTTTACAACTCTGTAATCCCTTTATTTGGAATGAAGTCAGGGCAATTAAATGGAGCTGAGTATTTACTGGCCAGTTGACTTCCTGATGCCTACATGGTGTTTGCAGCAGATATTTTCTTTCTGTGTCCTGATAGAGAAACATCTGTCGCTGCCAAAAGTTGATCTCTCAAATTTCCAAATGGGAGGCAAGCATCTTCACCTCTAAGCCACCATGCCACTTGGGATGCTAAAACTGTACTGTTTGCTCAGAAAGGGAGGGAAAACTCCTCGGTCAGAAGAAAAAATGGTCACAGCTAATCAAAGCTACAAAGTCAAAGACCACTGGTATATTATGACAAATTGTTCCTATAACGGTGCCACCCAAATACACTGTATTCCCTTCCATACTTGCATATGTTATCTGCAAGCCTTGTATTATGATCCTATACCGACACCTACATGATGGATTTGCCTTTATCCCTCTACCCCAGTGGCCCCCAGTAATATGCAAGTAAAAAATATTATTAATCAACTTCAGTGTTGCAAAATTCCAGGTTGTAATTGTATTCTTTCCAAGTTAATTAAATATAGCTCTGATGGGCACCAGTACTGGCCTCTCTATTTTCATATATTAACTGCACAGCTAAGATCCCAGAGAACTGAGGATAGCAATAATTGTTTCCTTGTGTAAAAAGCGTGACTCACGTAATTATAGGTTAATTAGCCTATTGAATATCAACAGCAAATTATATGCTAGGTATCTATACACCAGAGTATATATCTGGATAGTAAATGAGGAAATAATTGATCCCCAGCAAGTAGGGTGACAAACAGGACTTTCTATTACAGACCACTGCTTTAAGTACTAGCTAATAAATCCAAGCTTATAAATTCAAAATTTATAATAAATCCAAACTTGTTGTTTCCTTCAATAAAAATGCAAGGGTATAAAACTGGCACAGCAAAAATTCATAGATAGAAATCCAGCTTTGCACATGGAAACCATGGCTTGGTGCACATACAGTTATAGTATTAACACATCATGCTCTAGGCTTGTTCTAAACCATGTTTCTTCTGCTTTCTTTGGACAAGCTGACAGCTGACTTGCTCAGATAGAATGAGAGTAAGTTCTGACTGGGCTCCTGCTTTGTGTGTACAAGTCTACCCCTCCAATTTGTGACACCACCTCTTTATTGTTGCATTCACACAATACATAAGCTAAGCCAACAATAAACAAACCAGGTATATTGTGATGGGTGAACCCAGTGACAGAGCTACAAATGCACTGTGAGTTCATGGTTTATTATAGCTGCAAATTAATTAAGGTTATAATCTCCTAAGTGAGTAAATACTGAATCGTTATTCTGCACCTTTATGAGGGAGGGAGGAAGGGAGGGAGGGAGAGAGGGAGGAAGGAAGGAAGGAAAAAATAGATTAAATTATATTTTAGGCTTTAGTGAATCTTAAACTACAAGTATGAATTGGACTACTTTATCCTTCAATTATTTTCAAAAAGTTTTATTCCAACTCAATGATGCAATTATATCCCTGCACAATTAACTGACAGTAGAATCAGTTTTAAGAAATAAGCTATTGTACTTGATAAACTACAAGGCAGATTTCACTAATATATTTGCTGAATCCTTTCATCACTTTTTGATGACTCTGTGAATGACCTATAGGCATTTCACCTTGATCCTTTTTAACAGCTACTTGTTTGAGGAATCAGACATCAGTTACCTTTTTATTTATACATATCTACCACTTTATTAAAAAATCCACTTACCATGAACTTGTTTTTTTATCTCTTTGGCAGCATCCAACCATGTCTACAAGAAAACAGAAAATATTTATCATTTGAAATGTTGAAAAATAACAATGTGAAAATGTTTTTAATGCAGTTATTGCTGCATTAATACAATACAAAGCTAGCACAGTAATAGAATAAAATGACACATATTACTAAAATGCTAACATAGTCAAGCTGATGAATAGGAAGTATTTTAAAAATTTTCTAATCATAAAGTGAAAAATAAAGAAACAAAGACTATCAATACTAATTGCTGCAGAATTATAATTTTACAAGCTTGGACATTTTTGGACAGTTTTCAAGTTGAAAGCAAAACACAACTGCCAATTCCCCCTCCCCATTATATAAGCTCTCTGTCTATATATGTAGATATAGTATGTGCATGTACATTGCCCTGTTCAGAAATAGCAGAAGTCACTGGAGGCAGGTGCTGTCCATGGTACTGATCTATCCAGAAGACTTTCTATGTGCAGCGTTATGCCGTTTAGTACTTTTCTGTGTTAGAGCCAGTGTCTACAAATTTACCAGTGCCAGGTTGCATGCATTCTATTATCTGTTCTCCAGATAAAGTTCAGTTCTTCCCCACCACCCCACCAAATTTAAGCAAATTAATTTTCCCCAATTAAGAACATTTTTGTGTCAAGTTTTCTTACCTTAGACGTTGGGGTATCCCATATGGCCAGTCCAAAATAGTCCTCTTCCAAAAGGTTGAGGTGATCACATACTTTCTTAAGAAGATCTTGTCCTTTGGCATGTTTCTGTAAAAAAATACAAATGGTTAAGAGAATTACAGATAATTATAGTAAAGATGTATTTTTAGCTTTGGTCCTAAATGGGGAAAAAGAAAAACAGATGAAAAATGGCCAAAAGCAAGCTGCAGAGATGTGAAGACTAAATGTCTAATCTTGGACATAGAAAGAGGAAGGGAGGGACAAATAAACCACCACAGAAACAAACAAACAAACAAACAAACAAACCTTAAATAAATCTGACTGGGCATACAAGTATATCCCTTCACAAAAAAGAGAATCATGTATTTCATCATTTACAATCTATACTCTCTTCCCTTGAATAGTTCTTTAAAGTATTGGAAGGCTGCAGTCATGTTTCCTCTTAAGACTTCTCTTCTTTAAACATAACCAATTATTTTAATAGTTCTTCTTATGATATGGTATCTTAGCCTGTCACTATCTTTGCTGCTTTTCTGTACTCTAATTCCTCTGCATTCTTCTTATATTGTAGTGACAAAAAATGGAAGCAGTATTTTAAATGCTGTCTTACCACATCAAAGTCATCGGAATGATAATTCCACTCCACACTACACTGGTGCGGTCTGACCAGTGTAATGTAGAGTGGGACAATCAATTCTATGATCTTGACATTATAATTATGTTGATGCTACGCAAGACTGCAGTGGCTCTTTTGGCAGCTGCAGCACACCATTGGCTCATGCTTATTTTATGGTCTATCAAGACATTCAAATCCTGCTCACAAATACTATTGTTTGGCCAGGTACCACCCATTTTGTACCTGTGCACCTGGTTTTCTTTACCTAAGGTTCAGAGTCTTACATTTTTTTATCACTGAGCAGCATTTTGTTGGATAGGGTCCAATGTTCAAGCGTATTAGTTCCTTCTGAACCTTGATCCTATCTTCTGAAATGTTAGCAATTCTCCTAACTTTGCATACCTTTCTTCACATGTTAGGTACAGATATTCAACCAATTGTGAATCTTGTAGTGAGTTACCCTGTGGTAAGATGGGCTGTCAATATATATATGGTCAACTTTATTAAATGCCTTACTGAAGTCTAATCACACTCCATCTATAGGTAGTCCTCACTGAACAACCCACTCGTTCAATGACCATTCAAAGTTATGACGGCACTGAACAAGGGCCACTTATGGCAGATCCTCATAGTTGCAGCCAGGCTGCCACACTGTCCCAATAATCATGGGTTGAGTTCGGCAGTTGTCATCTTACTCGCAATTGTTCAAAGTATCCCACAATCATGGGATCACCAGTGATTATCTTCACTACTAACTTCTAAGAAGCAATAATTGGAGAAGCCATCAGGAGGTTGCAAATGGCAAGCACATGACCCCAAGATGCTGTAACTCTGCAGGATTCACCTTACATTGGCAACTGGGACTGCCACTGTAAATTGGCATGGCAAGTGAGAATCTAATAATCTAGTCAAAAAAAAAAAAAAAAGATTTGCCTGGCACAGCCTATTTTTTAACAAACCCATGAAAGTTCTAGTAATCACCATCCACTAAATAATTAGTTAAATGAACAGAACAACAGATAGTTGAATTATGGCTGGTTTAATTCATCTGTATTTCTCCACAATTTCATAAATATGATTTTGGCTGATGGCCAAACTATAATTTTTTGCTAGAGCCTAAAGATTATAAATCAATATAGGAGCATTGCTTGAGGCACTGATGGGTGAGAGGTTTTTTTCTTCAAGCATCAGCAAGCCTTTCCCTCCCAGCCCACAAACAGATGTCAGGCTGAAAGGATATAAAAAGCTGCTTTATATCATCAGCCTGTTGTCTTCCCTGCTAGCAGCAGTTCTCCAGGGACTTCAACCTAGGATCTTTAATCAAAGATTATACAGAAGGAATGTAGAATCCAAGGCAGTGAAATCACGACTTTACCATGAGCCTCCCATATGAAAAAAGAATCTCTAAAATTTGCCTTTTTGTTCAACTTCCATTCTCTACATGTAGAATTAAAGACTACACTTTAGAGGTACACACACATAAAGTAACCACTGGGTAAAATAATACTAATAGCAATATTTTAATACCATTATATAATAATGTAACATTCATACACTGACTAAAACATTTTAAGTCAATTAAAACACCTATTTTGCTCAATCAGATACAGAAATACAACTTGGCAATAAACATGCATTTAGGTTTAATTAGTGACTCGAAATATCAGTAAACTTTTTAAAAGAACAGTGGTACTTAATTCCCAATCTACTATGCAACAATCAAGCAAAAGGGACAAGGTAGTGTATCACATGCAACTTCTATTATCCGTAACTTTAAAGGTGCAACAACTATGTTTTTATTTTATTTATTTTTTATTTTATTTATTTATTTATTTGTCAGGCGTGTGTAACAGATATAAGTATAAACATGATTATGAATACATGAAATGGATACGAATAAATGGGCTAGGCACATTGGTGTGCTTATGTATACCCCTTACAGTCCTCTTAGGAATGGGGTGAGGTCAACAGTAAACAATCAAAGGTTAAAGTTTTGGGGGTTTCGGACAGAAACCAGAGTCAGATAGTGTATTCCAGGTATTGACCACTCTGTTGTTGAAGTCGTATTTTCTGCAATTGAGTTTGGAGCGGTTTACCTTAAGTTTATATCTATTGTGTGCTCGTGTATTTTTGTGGTTAAAACTGAAGTAGTCATTGACAGGTAGGATATTGTAGCAGATAATTTTATGTACTACTTTTTTTATTTTATTTTATTTTATTAATTTTATGTATTAGCAAGGCTCAAAGATGCCTGTAGTATATTCCAGTCAGTTCCTCTCATACCAATATCAAACCTCTTCACCTTACACCCAATGTCATTCATTCCTGACAACATATCAAACATTAGAACCCACTGGTTGCTTTAAAAAAAAAAAAGTTAATCAGATTCCTGGGGTCAATTATAAAGTAGTGGTTCCTCCAAATAGTTATTTTATGAGTGCAATTTTTAAAAAATGAACTTTGTAATTTAAAAATAGGGTGGATTTGTTTAGGCTACTATAGAGAAAAATAGGGTGTTCTATCATTTGAAAAAGATACAATGAATCAGGACAATCACATTCCCTCCCCCATATTAGTTTTAATACAGGTTTACAATTAAGAAAAATAATCAGTAAGATATAAATTATCTGGATCCGTTCCAGTCGGGCTTCAGGCCTGGGTACAGCATGGAAACGGCATTGGTCGCATTGGTTGATGATCTCTGGAGGGCTCGGGACAGGGGTTGTTCCTCTGTCCTGGTCCTATTAGACCTCTCAGTGGCTTTTGATACCATCGACCATGGTATCATGCTGCACCGGCTGGAAGAGTTGCGGTGGTTCTCCTCCTTTCTCTCTGACCGGTCGCAGTCTGTGTTGGCAGGGGGGCAAAGGTCGACCCCGAGGCCCCTTGTATGTGGGGTGCCACAAGGGTCAGTCCTCTCGCCCCTTCTGTTCAACATTTATGTGAAGCCATTGGGCGAGATCATCCGTGGTTTCGGGGTGAGGTACGCTGATGACACTCAGCTGTACATCTCCACCCCGGACCTCCCCAATGATGCCCTTGAAGTGATGTCCCGGTGCCTGGAGGCTGTACGGATCTGGATGGGGAGAAACAGACTCAGGTTCAACCCATCCAAGACCGAGTGGCTGTGGTTTCCGACATCCCGATATAGTCAGTTGGTGCCATCACTAACTATTGGGGGCGAGTCGTTGGCCCCCACGGAGAGGGTCCGCAACTTGGGTGTCCTCCTGGACTCACAGCTGTCTTTAGAAGGGCATCTGACGGCTGTGGCCGAGAGAGCATTTTATCAGGTTCGCCTGATTCACCAGTTGCGTCCCTTTCTGGATCGAGACTCGTTAAATACGGTTACTCATGCCCTCGTCACTTCCCGCCTGGATTACTGCAATGCTCTCTACATGGGGCTCCCCTTGAGGAGCACCCGGAGGCTCCAGCTGGTCCAGAATGCGGCCGCACGGGTGGTTATGGGAGCGACGTGGCGCTCCCATGTGACCCCCCTCCTGCGCAAGTTGTACTGGCTCCCGGTGGTCTTCCGGGTGTGCTTCAAGGTTTTGGTTACCACCTTTAGAACGCTCCATGGCCTAGGACCGGGGTACTTACGAGACCGCCTTCTGCCACCAGTAGCCTCTCACCGACCAGTACACTCCCATAAAGAGGGGCTTCTTAGGGTGCTGTTAGTGAAACAGTGTCAAGCGGCCCCCAGGGGGAGAGCCTTCTCTGTGGGAGCACCTGCCATCTGGAAGGAGCTCCCCCAGGAGATACGGAGGATCATTGATCTGCGCGCTTTCCGCCGTGCCCTTAAAACATTCCTATTCCAGCAGGCCAGCCTGGCCTAACCTCTTTTTTAAATTGTTTTTAAATTTTTTAAATTTTAAATCTGTCTTATAATTGGGGTTTTTAAATTTTGTTTTCTGAGCCAAATTATTTAATTGTATTTTAATGATTTTTTAACATTTGTATTATATATATTTTATCTTTTGGCTGTTCACCACCCTGAGTCCTTCGGGAGTAGGGCGGTATATTAAATTCAATAAATAAATAAATAAATAAATAAAATAAATAAAATAAATAAATAAATAAATATATACTTACATCCACAGAACACTCAAAAATTGCATCATCCAGTAAGGTAATCTTGCAATGCATGCTATTTCGGGGTCGTCTTACAGTTTTGGGAGCACTTTTTAATTCTTTTTCCACCTTTCCCTTGTTTTCTTTTTTTTCACCTGTATTGGAACACTCCACCTGCTCTTTTTCTTCCTTAATTTCAAGATCTAAGTTCTCTGGATCTTGATCCTGATCTTCTCTCCTATCCTCTTGAGCAGGCTGAAATCATTAAAATATTCTAACATAAATAAAACATTTCCCTGTAATATGTGTTTATATTTGTATTTTATAAATCTTTATTACTTTAAATACTTGATAAACTTTTTTAAAACTGGGACACTCTAGCTGAAATTCACAACCTGCATTGGGGGAGGAGGGAGACTTTTTAAATAAAAGGATACATGCGTATGCTGGGAATTGCTACTTAAATGCCATTGGTTTCCAATATAATTTAAAATGTAACAAAATACATCCTCCATAAATTATACCTTAAAGATGTGAAACATTTCCCAACTTGAACCTAGTTAAATAAACTTCTTCAAAATTAAGTTGTAAAACTTGGGCTAATTATTTTACATGCTGCCTACTGCCAAATGGCTCTAAGAGGTACCCACATAATCAGTAAAAAGCATAAAGCAGCAGCATAAAAAGTATCTTAAATTCCTATGCAAATGAGGGGCATGCCTCAACTCCAAAAGAAGTTTGTTTTCAATTATGGCTGGATCACTGAAAAAGCAGACATTTTGTGGATGTTAGACATACCCATGTTAAAGCCAGAATTTAAAACAGGATGGGGAAAACTACAAGTATCTTTGACACAAGCTTTGTGCACCTTGAATTGGAGCTGGAAGACAGTATAGCTTTTTCAATATTGATGTAATAGAGCATTTATATTTTCTTGGGAATAAAATCCATGAAAGTCCCAATAAAAATATATTCTGTTTTAGTTATATTAAACTAAATTACTAAATAAACTATAATAAATTAAACTCATTTGCACAATATTAGGAGGAATCTCCCTAGAAATCTAAGCAGCTAGAAAATATTACATTTACATGATATTTACCTGAGTTTCTGCACTGCTGAGTGAGTGAAGATCTAAAGATGGATCAGTCTTAAGTTCAGGTTCAGGAGCTGCTATTGGGGCTTTCAGCAAAATCTCTTCATTGAGATCAGCTTCTATATCAGTCTCTTTCTGGAGTTCTTCACCAAGTTCTTTTGTTCCTGCCCCGTTGCCTTCTTCTTCCGATACCTGAGATTTGGGCCTCTTGAGAAGTGATGAAAATAAGCGTGACAGGCCACGAGTTTCAGAACTGCATTCTTTGTTCTTACTCTGGTCCTCTCGGGTGGGTGTGTCACCATTGGATGCTTTCAGTTTCTTCTTGGACGGATTATCCCCCTCGGGTGCTTTCTCCACAAAAGATTCCTGGGGATCAGTTTCAGTAACTACCTCCTCCTCCTTTGGGGGCTGCTGTTTAGGAGTCTCAGACTCTGCCACTAAACTCTTTTCAGTTGTCATGTTTCTAGTGGCAAAAATTAAAAGAAACTTAAAGACATGAAATATTAATATAAAACCACATTTTATGTTAAATAGCTACCTGATTTTTCTTAATCCAGAAAAAAAACCCTAACATTTATAATTTATAAAATTTCTTTTCCAATGCATCATTTTAGTAAGATAATGTGTGCTGTATATTTTTAATGTACTGGACGTGAATTCTTTGTGATTACAAAATTCAGTTTATCAGGTACAAAAAATAAAATCCAATGCAAAATTCTAAAACTTAAAATTTAAGCAAGATTGCCAAAATTAACCTTGAGAACTTTGTTGTGTACTACATGGATTACTCTCAAGGCTTTCTAAATGCTTAATACTTATAAAACAAAACAGTAGTCTACTTGAAGATGGTTCACCTGCCACTAACACCTAGGGGAATGAGTATACTAAAAGTACAATGAAAAGTCATAATAGGCTAATCAAAGGCATATAAATTGGGTGTTCTATATTACAAGACCCACTATTTTTTGCCACAGACAGAACTCCTCAAAAGACAACTTAATGCACATGGATTCCCTATTTATATATTATCTGAAAACTAGTGAACTATGTTACCAATAATAAAATCAGATTTTGGGCAGTAATATTATACAACAAAAGCCAGTTATGCATCTTTCTGACCATCTTATTTCTGCCATCACTTTCTCTTCCTACTAACTTTGATACAGGGGAAAATCCAAGATAATTATGTCTCTGGAAAAAATACATATCAATATATCTAAAGAAGAAGAAATGCAGCTTTCCTTCATCTATTAGACTCAAGTACATTAGGTAGATGAGGAGAAATTATAATAATTGATATTATTTTAAAAAATCACGTTCAAGCTTCAAGTCCAGATCAAAATGTGATATGAAAACACAACAGAATCCAGAAAGTGAAAGGAGCGTAGCCATTTGCAAATAAAGAAATTCAAAACAATTTTATCAAACTTGGAGATCAATGTAACTTGGAGATCAAACAGGTAATCAATGACTTAAGAATTAATTTACTGTATTTGTCCAGGGAGAAAGTAGGGATGACTATTTCTACTGATTAGATGGATAGCAGGTAAGCAACAATACTTTGTTCTGCAAAAACATCCCTCAAAACAAGGTGTATCAATCTGGCTGCCTCTTTGCTTTAGTATCTTGTTCTGGAGGTTAGAATGAGACATCAGGTGTTCATTCACTTCCATATCTTAGTCTGAAGGCTCCTAAAAATCTCCTAAAAAGATTAAATATTATATTGGCCTCTGCAGCTACTGAGGTGGAATTACATGGAGACCTTTACTATGTAACATGAGGTCTTGAGCTGCCTAGAAAACATTTTTTTGGATCAAAGCTATTAAGGCAGAAGACAGAAACTGGTTCCATAAAACAGAAAGCAAATATCTGAACACATTCTATCCACTATTCGAAGTCCAACATTCTATCTACTACTCTATATCTCGTCTTTTGTTCTACAGAAGAACGTCAAACAATAAAAGCTAAATAAAATATACAAGGCTGAACAAAACCCCTTTTTTTCCCCTTTACAAAATAATTTATACCTTTAAGCAATGTAATTTTATCCCATCATACTGAATGCTACTGAAATCTAACAAGCTTTACAATGCTACCTATATGAAACTATACATATTTCAGGGGAGAGAAGAAAACAGATTATCTTTCAAGTTTCTAAAGAAAGGATTTTCTGTTGGAAAGCAGCTAGTTTATCAAGTGATACCATGTTTAGCATAACTATAAAAAATAAGGGTTATATAACTGTAAATTCTATATAAAATCTTTAAAGCTTTAAGAGTCCAAATTTCAGTCCTGAACTGGAGCTGAGAAATTTTTTCACCAGATAGGGCATTAAATAACTCCATGTGCTTCTAATTAAACTATTGCTACCTAAGTGGGGGTAAAAACGTACATTTTCAAAATTTATATTTTAGCCTTAAAATCAGAAGACATATTTCTTTTGATCACTGTAAAAGCATTTGGAGGATTTACTATACAATAATTGCAAATTTCAGTGCTGATTTTCTAAAACTATTAAAGAAGAATAATTTTCAAAAATATTTCAAATAAAAAATGTTTGCAATTTGATTCTTCAGATTTTAACCTCATCCAATTGCATTAGTTGCCAATGTTAATTTTCCTATGTTATAATTAAATAATCTATTGGTGCATTCCATAAAAAGTGGTTTGAAAATAATATAGAACTGTAATATTATAAAATGAATGCTGTTTATACTTTAGAAATTACACAGCAATGTAGAAGCTTAAAACAATTTCAGGAATACTATCCCGCCAAGCACAACCATAGCTGTTATGCTGACTCCTTCCCATTCATCTTGTGCTTAATACAGATATGTTTATATTCCATAAAAAGAATGAGGAGAAACTGAGTTATACTTTGGGCTATATGCCAAAACAACTTGGGAAAATACCAGCCAAAAGAGAATGTTTTTATAAATTCCTCTACCACTCAAGCTTTGAAATGGAGAACCAGATATATGCTTACGTGCAGCCACAGCCATAATTGTTTTTTTTTAAAAAGTAAACAACATAATCCCAGGAGGGGGGATATTTCCCATTTTAAATATGGACATAGGACAACGTTTGTTTGCAGATTGTTTATAGTGGTGTGGTGTGGTGTATTAATGAGATATATATCTTTCAAACAAACTCCACCTAAGGTTTCAGTTACGTGAATGAATGTCTCCATGGTTTCCTGAGAATTACATTAAATCACAACACTTTCAAATAAAGATAAGGAAAAATCCTGAAGGATGCAGAGATAGGCATGCACAACTATTTTAGTACAGATACTCCTCGAATTACAACAGTTCATTTAGTGACCGTTTGAAGTTACAATGGCACTGAAAAATGGTTAAGACCATTTTTCACACTTATGACTGTTGCATCATTCCCGTGATCATGTTTTACATACAGATGCTTGACAACTGGTTCATATTTATGACGGTTGCAGTGTCCCGGGGTCATGTGATCACCTTTTGCAACCTTCTGACAAGAAAGTCAATGGGGAAGTCTGATTCATTTAACCATGTTACTAAGTTAACTGCAGTGATTCACTTAACAAATGTGACAAGAAAAGTTGTAAACAGGGTAAAACTCATTTAACAAATTTCCCACTTAGCAACATAAATTTTAGGCTCAATTGTGGTCTTAGGTCAAGGATTTGCTGTATATCCTGTCCTTATTATACTCTTTTCTGAACTTTAAACTGCCTAAATCAGATCAAAGGACTCTCTCTTTTCTAGTTTGAAATTAAAATAAAAGATTTACTTTTCCCATTTTAAAATGGTACATACTTTTTATTTAAATTAAATAATTATGGAATGAATAATGCTAAAGAGGCGAAACTGAAGAAATATTTTTGCTGTTTGTGGTGTGCAACTTGGTTATGTTCCTCAAGTTCACTCACTCTAACATCAGTGAAGACCCCTATAAATAATATTAATTAATCTAATAGTATCTCAGTCTGCAATAAATTCTTTCAGATACTATATTCTTGCCACACTGATAGCCAAGATGCTAGGTTTTGACAGTGTAAACTTTGGTTTGATGGAGGTTGTTCACTGTAGTGTATTTCTCTTTGTTCTTACTGGATTCTCCATTTTGGGATTCTTTTAATGCAAACCGGGTTAATGAAGAATGCCTTAATAAAATACAGGCTCTCACTAGTTACTCTATTACACTTCCTTCATTATATATTAAAAATACTCATTTATGAAATATTGAACATCTCTGATCATATAATATTGCATATTTAATATTGTAAAATATAATGAAGTGCCTTTTTATTTCTGTACTGATCTTTCAAGAAAATAAAAAAGATTATGTGGTTCTTAAAGGATAAAAAATTGCATATAAAAAGTAATCCAATTAGAACTGGGCCATTTTATATTCAATAGCATATATTGCACTGTACTTGAGATTTTTTTTCTAGTTATGCTACAATGAAAGCAGCTTCATCTGTTTTCTAGTTGTCACTCAGGTTAATTATTTAAAAATGTTCTACTGAATTAAGATTCAGAATGTTCAAAAAAACAGAGTGGGGAGGGACATTGGAGGTCTTCTAGTCCAACCCCCTGCTCAAGCAGGAGACCCTATCATTCCAGATAAGTGGCTGTCCAGTCTCTTCTTAAAAGTCTCCAGTGATGACAAGGGCTTAGATATTTGTATATAAATATTCATAATATAAATATTCATAAACAAACTATGTTTAACCAATGCGATTTTTCTTTTCATTAAAAAACTGCAGATTTGGAAAACTGGCCTCTGAATATTAAATATAACAATTAATGTAGCAAAGACAACGGGAAGTAAAAATATGCCTAACCTTTGAAATGTTAGACCACACCCGTTTCTGATGAAGCAACACAATTATGTTTATCTTTGAAGTTGATAATTCACAAAGAAAATGTACAACAGTAATACAAATGTACAGTAATACATTTTTCTTCTGATTGTGTCTGATTCTTGGAGACTGCCTGGACAAGTTCATGTGGTTTTCTTGGCAAGGTTTTTCAGAAGCAGTTTGCCTCCTTCCTAGTCCTGAGAAAATGACCAGCCCAAAGTTATTGGCTTTGTGCCTAAGGTGGAACTAGAACTCACATCTCTTGGTTTCTAGCCTGACACCTTAACTATGACATTAAATTGTCTCTATATTTAATCAACATATTATAGAACACAAAATCATTTCTATTATTCATTTATCAGGCTCTATTAAACATCTATTTATGGCTATTTAGAGTCTAATATAACACTTAGAGAGGCCATGTGATCACTATTTGGGAAATTCCCAGCTGGCTTCCAATAAGCAGTCAATGCCAGGAACAGGATTCGCTTAACAATCATATGATTCACCCAACAACTGCAGTGATTCATTTAACAATGTGACAAATGGGTCATAAAATCAGGCACAATTCACTTAACAACTGCGCCTTGCTTACCAACAGAAATTCTGGTCCCCACTGTATTTCCTAGAATATAATTTTGAAACCTTAACACTATAATGACTAGGCAGTTTACCTAGAAGCATAAAATATAGATAAATGATCAACACACATATAAGATTAGTTGCTAACAGCAAGTATTTGTTTTATATTATACAAAAAGGGCTATAAATTGGCAGAGATATACATGAATCTATGAAGTCTATGAAACAGAGATCTTAATCCCTGAACTGTATAAACTTTTAAGACAACTGAAAAGACTACAAGTAGTCCTCAACTTACAAAAAGTGGGACTAGAAAATTTGTTAAGCAGTGCAGTTGCTAAGCAAGCATCATGTGACTACATGATAAATGGAGATCATGTGAACCCAGGAGGCTGCAACTATCATAAATACAAGTTGGTTGTCAAGCATCCAGTCACAATCACATGAATGCAGGGATGCTGCAACAGCTGTAAGTCACTTTTTCAGCATTATTGTAACTTTGAACAGTTGCTAAATGAATGATTGTAAGTCAAATACTATCTGTTAAGTGGTTTATCACTGATAAAATTATTGTATCAATGGTCATTCAATTATCCTTCACATTTCATAACAAAGCATTATTGTTAAATAATTTCTCCAAGAACTACTTTCTTTCATTCAGATTTTTAAAATTCTCTACCATTTCTTATGGTGATAGTTCATAGTTTAAACAGGGGACCAGTATCCCCTAACCTTTCTAATATAAATATATTATTTATATCAATTTTAATAATATTTGCATAATCAAGGAGATATTTGGGTTATGTTTAAAGTTTGCTCCTGACATCATAGAAAAGAATTGAAACACTTATGGATGATGCTGTAAGCCAGACAGAGTTCCTTGTAGTAAATAACAAATGTAATAAATAAGCAAACAAATTTCAGATTGTTTGTACCAACTGAAGTTTTCAGATGCTCTCCAATTACTGTAACACACTGAAATAGTCAAAATATGCTACTAGAACATGAATATATGCAACTAAGTTGTATTTTATAGTTGTAAATTCATCATCTATTAACTTTAAATGCTATCAAATCTAAGTCTATCATTTGTCTCGTTGGCAAAGTATTTTAAGTAGGTCTCATTGTCCTGGAACATTTATTTTCATATTGCCTCTGAATTTGGAGTGCCCTAATACCTTAGTAAGAAAAAAAAGTATTTTTATACAGTCCTTCAATTATGCAATTTCTTATTGGTTTCTTCATTTCTATTAAAATACAAGATAACAAATAAGTTATCTTGGAGGATAAGTTACTATCAAGCACCATATCTTTATTTGTCCCTCGTCTGTTTAAACTTATTCCAGTTCTCCTAATTTGATATTTATGACATCCAAAGTCTCACAACGTTATTTATAGGCCCAGTCAATATTGAATACTCTACTAGTGTACAGTTGTAGTGTTGAAAGACTATAGTTGGAATACTCTTATTAACTCAGGATTACATTAAACAAAACTCTGACAGCTGCCACAACTGATAACACTGCCAGTGAATTTAAGACAAACTGGGTAATTTTTTAACCCACTGACTGTTGGGGAGGGGAATCTTTCCTGAAATCAGAATTGAAATACTTCATCAAATTAAGGTTAAATTATTTAAAAATAACCTTTAAATCCAACATAGTCAAAATGTTCATGGCATATAATGAAGTGAAAGCCACAAATTATATCATGCATTTAACATTTGTCTGGAATGTCTATGGAGATTCTCAGTCATCCAGATCATGGTTGTCCCAAAGGTGTTTTTCAAAAGGCAACTGAATTGTTTTTTCCATGAAGACATTTTGCTTCTCATCCAAGAAGCTTCGTCAATTCTTTGGTCTGGAATATTTATTGTATAATGCCAGCTAAATAACTACAGTAAATGCAGTAGGACTGTTAACAGACTATAAACAACACAAAGCAACTGTACTATCATCAAAAATCATTTGCAATAAATAGGTATACAAGCTTAAATCTATTTCACAGAACAGTCCATGTACTTTGGAAGTGGTTTGTCACTGACTTTATCTGGGATATTTATACTTCCCAGGTTATGGCATTAATCCATTTAAGTACTACCTTTGCCTAACTTTCTGAGAGCAGCTAAGTTCAACTACATGTGGCTAATGCATGTAGTGCTTTATCAAACTGAATTTAAGGCAACCATAGCTAAGTGAAAACTCACTAGTAGGTTTTTTTAAAAAAGTGATCTGGGCACTTTAATTTTTAACTGATTAGTTTCTATTACAGTAACCACAATATGATTTTGCAATGAAAACAATACTTTTAAATGCAAGAAAAGCAATCATATAATATAACTTGGTTGCAGTTCCATATATCATCTCACTGTTAAAGTTTGTACATCACAATATTGCTTAAAGAATCACCCACCCTATTTACTGTAAGTGAAAAAGAATATACATAACTCATTAATATTTATCTCATTAAACAACTTAAAAGCTTTTTTCAAAATCTTCCATCTGGTATATGATCCTCAGACCTGAAAAACTTAAATGTAGACAGAAGAAATCAAGCTAAATTACAATAAGACATATCTATAAAATACCCCCTTTAACATATATAACTGAAATAGAGACCAACAAAATGCCTATGTAGATTCTCAGTCATCCAGGTCATGGTTGTCCCAAAGGTGCTTTTTCAAGAGGCAGCTGGACTTTCTGGCTTTTCTTTGAAGATGTTTCACTTCTCATCCAAGAATCCATGGTGGGGAATGGAAGGATTCAGTCATCATCCAGTCAGAACTGAAGAAGCTTCTTGGATGAGAAGCGAACCGTCTTCAAAGAAAAGCCAGAAAGTCCAGCTGCCTCTTGAAAAAACACCTTTGGGACAGACCAACAAAATGTTTTCATGCTGTATTTAGGACTAAGATGTATGGCAATCAAAGCAATGTAGTTTCAGTTAACATTAAACAGAATTAGGGTATGTAATCATAGGGTATCAGTAGGCCTTTATTGTTTTTATTTTGAAATCCAGAACCTTGCTGTCAAGAGAAATAACCAGTCGAGCTCCAAGGAACGGCGTTCAGTTCATCTCAGTATATGCGAGATTTCCTGTACCTGATCAGCTTTGTCTCTCTCTGTCCCCCCCTCCCCAAAACGCTTACACAACTGGAGACGGCCCCTCCCCCCCTTTCATACTCGAAACTGTCACCGCTGTATCTTTGATGCCATTGCAAAAAAAAAAAAAGAAACCCCCCCAAAAAAGAAGATCTAAGAGACAGTATAAAAGAGAGAGGGCTTTAAATCCAGACCACAAACCGACTGACCAGGGATATAGCAAAGGGAAGGGGGAAAGCGCAGGAGGCTATCGCGGAAGCTAAACCCGCCAGCTCGCCTTTTAATCTTTCAACCTCGTCTCTCTTCTTCTCTTCCCCCCCCAACCACCAACCCCCACCGACATTCGCGCGCGCGCTCTCCTCAACCCAACGCCCTCACCTCACTTGAGTCACACCGTCTTCCATCCCATAATCCCCTCCCTTCCTCCGGCCCGAGAGGCTGCCAGGCGGGCGCGGAGACACCGCTCAACACGCTTCTCTCTGTCCCCCCCCCACCCTCGAGACAGCCCCCCCCCCGGCTGACGAAAAGCGCCCCCTTTCCTCCTCCTCCTCCGTCCGTCCCACACCTTCACTGCACCACCTCTCCGTACCGTCTCCCACCATTACCACCACCCCGCGGCGCAACGAAGCCCGACGCTTCTTCGGCACCTCAGAGCGAGGGACACGGCTGTCGCTGCCCTCGCGCGGCCGGGCAAAAGGCCAACGGCCACCTGAGCGCCTCCCGGGGCCGTCCAGGCAGCGGCTCCGCCCTCCCCAGGAGAGAGAGAGAGGGGGGAAGACCAGGTCCCTTCTCGCGCCGACGCGCCTTCGCCTGTCCCTCAGCCGCCCGAGTCAGTCAACCCGACCGCCAGCCGAATGGCTGTGGACGGCCAGACAGATAGCCGTCTCTCTCTCACTCACGACGCACCTCGCTGAGGTAAAGCGGGGAACGAGAAGAAAAGGGACGAGGGACGGAAGTCGCTTGCGTCGCCGCCTCACTTGCCTGACGCCTCCCCAGGTGGGGAATGCTTGGACACCGATAGCCTTTCGCGAGGGTGCCGGCAAGTGGTCGAAGGCGCCCCCCCCTTTTTTTCCCCCCCTCACGCGGTCTCGCTGCTCGGCTGGCTCGCGTTCAATCGCGCTCTCCCTCTCTCTCTCTCTCCCCTTCACCCACCTTTCCTCTCCCCCCTCCCGCTCCATAACATAGTAGTAAGTTTCTATTGGCGGAGAGAAGAAGGCGGAGTTCCTCAGGGGCTCAACCATTGGCTCTCGGCCGCGGAGAGGGCGGGAACCAAAGCGGAGCGAGAAGGGGAAGAGTGGGGGGAGAGAGAGAGAGACGACTGTGTGGTGGTGAGGACGAGGGAGCGCGGGACGCACGGAGGGCTTCGTGGGAGACGCAACGGCAGCGGGAAGGAGGAAAAAAAAAAAAGCGCAAGCGCGCAGGAGGAGAAAGGCGGGGGGGGGGGAAATAGGTAGCGAAAGAGCGCGCCCGCGCGCGAGGCTCGCGCCCTCTTCAAAATAAATGAATCCCAACGGCCATCTGGGTCAGTTATGAGGGGAAAAAAAGGTGCGCGCGCAGGCGCGCTCTCTTATTTCTCCCCCCCCTTTCCCCCGTTTCCTTCCCGCTATGGGAGTTGCTGTCCTTTTCTGTGGGGGACTTAACCTGCTTTTTTTTTCTTCCTTTCTTTTTTCTTCACATTTTCACCACCCACCCCCGCACCCCAAAATGAAGGAGATGGGGAAGATAACAATGGCTCGTCGGCCCAGACGTCTTTGACCAAAAGGCGGGGCTGCCGTGGTGTAATAATAGTAAGAGCGGAATGGACGAAGGAAGCGAGGCATCCAATGGAGCCGAATCTCGAGCGCTGCGTCAGATGGAAAAAAAAAAGCAGCTCGGCTTAAAAGCGTTCGCAGGAGAACCCGAACCCCGGTTTACTCAATTAATCCAGTTTCCTATGGCAGTCTCCGCATGCCTTATGCTAATCCCTTGAGGTGCTGGGTCCACTCGACGCAAGTGGTGAAAAGGTGGTGATTATCTAGTCTAGTGAAATGATTCAAGGTTCAAGAAGCAGCCATTAAAGGCCATCCAGTCTGTTTCCCCCCCCCCCCAAAAAAATCAGCCTACTGTTTTTTGTTTTGCTTTTTAAATTTTCCAAGCATTTGGCATACAGAGGGGTACACTGCCTCTGAATATGGAGGCTTCCATCTCTTTGGCTTTTGATAATCCTGTCATCTCACTGACTCGGTGATCTGCCCTATATCTGTGGCAGTGAGAACAGTCAATTAAATGTTGTGTGAAATCCTTTCTTTTCTCTGCTACCCATCTGATAAGTATCTACCCTGTTTCCCCTAAAATAAGACATCCCCTGATAATAAGCCCAATCGGGCTTTTGAGCGCATGTGCTAAAATACCCCACACCCCCGAAAATAAGCTCTCCCTGAAAATATTTAACCGCATGTGCAGCCGGTCCCTGCTATTTCCTCTGGTTAGGGTTAGAGAGACAGAGCTGAAAATCAGGTAAGACGGCAAGAGGAGCCCCGTCTTGTTCCATGTGCCCCAAAATAATACGACATCCCCAAAAATAAGGCCAAGCACTCATTTCAGGGTTCAAAAAAATATAAGACAGGATCTTATTTTCGGGGAAACACGACACTGTAAAAGCTGCCAAGTGGTGCAAGATTGTATGAGAAAATGATCTTTTAATTGCATTGGTTCTGAATTTCTCATACAATCTTGCACTATTTGGTAGCCTTGATAGTACTTAGTGCCCAATATTGCTACACTCACGAGAAATTCCATACAGTCCTCAAGTTTACAACCATTTGTTTAGCAATTGTTGGAAGTTATAACTGGTGGAAAAAGTGACTTACAATCTTCTCACTTAAAACTGATTCCATCACACTTCTGTGGTCACATGAAAAAAAATTGGGTGCTTGGTAACCAGCATATACTTACAACAGTTATAGCACCATGGGTCATGTGATCACCATTGGTGATCTTTTCCAGTCAGCTTTCCACAAAATATAAGGGGGAAGCCAGATTTACTTAAAAAGCACAGCAAAAGTTTTGGACTCACTTAAGGTTAAGGTTAAGTTAAAGACTCACTTAATAACTAACTCAGCGACAGATGTTCCAATCCCAATTGTGGTCATAAATCAAGGATCACCTGTAGTCTGAACGAGAGACAGCTTAATCCATTTGCCAGTATCCTGAGAACTACTATATCAACAGTGCTTCATACTATAAAAGGGCAGACCATCCCTCCTATGCATTTTACTTCTGCAAGTTCTTTGAAACAAATATCTACCGCTTTCTTTGCTATGGCATCATAACACAACTTAAACATCAAGCACAGTAAAATCAGGAAATGTTGGCTCTGCATATTTAAGTTTAGCATATGCCTTTAAAACCTTTAAAACTGAAACATGCCAGCTTGCTCGACTGAAGGAGGAAGTTGTAGCAAAATAAGACTTTCATGGGGGAAAAAACAGCTTCTACCACATATTTGCTCTGAAGAGTACTGTACACACACACATTGGGCAGGTAAAGAATGATGCAGCTGGCCTTCCTGCTATAGCAGCAAAAATCTCTTGCATGAGATTTTTAAACTACCCATGTTTCCCCGAAAATAAAACCAGGTCTTATTGTCTTTTGGGTCAGCACTAGGGCTTATTTTGGGGGGTGTTATCCCCCCCATGTACGGGAGGCCCATTTCTGCTTGCTCACAATGGGCAGGAGGCTATGCGGTGTGCTAGTGTGGATGTGCAGACTCATTAGGGCTTATTTTGGGGGTAGGGCTTATATTAAATGTATATGTAAAAAAAACTCATGCTAGGGCTTATTTTCAGGGAAACGGTATATAGAGGTAGTCCTTAACTTTCGACCACAATTGGGACTGGAGTTTCAGTCACAAGTTATGGTCATAAGTAAATTGGACCTGATTTCACAACAAGTGTTATGGTGGTCATTAAGTAAATCATGCAGATGTTAAATGAATCCAGCTTCCCCAATGGTTGGATTTTTTTGTTGGAAATAAGTATTGCAAATCGCAATCACACTACTGCAGGACGGCTGCAACCAATTGTAAATGCGAGCTGGTTGCTAAGTATTCCAGTTGAGCTCACATGACTGGGTGGTGCAATAATCATAAATGAGACTACAGGTTGTAAATCACTTTGTAGCTTTGAACCATCATTAAACCAACAGTCGTAAATCAAGGACTACCTGTATTCTTCATAGTGTTGACAAATGAAAAGGATGCATCCCTTTATCAGAAAGGCATCTGATGGCGCTCTCTAGTATGTGTCACACTCTCAGCACAGGAGATACTTTACACCCAGTCATTGAGCACATTTGAACCCCATGGCTTCCTTTTCACAAAAAATGGGTGAAAAGTAATTGTATTAACACGCACACATCTAATGCAGATACACCTCCATGCACATATCAACACTGCAATCCAACAAGCTCTTTGTTCCTAACAGCGTTACCAACATTTATAAACAGCATGCCATTTACTACACATAAGAGTTAAAAAAATTTCCAGGGTTCTTAATATGGAAAGGTTATTACAAGGGAAAAGAATTATAATTTTCAATTGGGTGGTGTGTGTTTTTAATCTCCCTTTTACATACAAGGGAAGCGTAATCTCTCATACTGGCTTTGCATACTGCAGTAATCTATAAATCAAAGTATATAATGGTTGGGTTGATGCAAGACAGTAAGCCAAAACCAAAATCAATAAACTATGGATTTGTCCACTATGTGAACCAGGCCTTAGAATTACTATTTTATAGACTGCATGTAGACGCCATATTTTCTCTCTCATGCTTATTTAAAGGCCTCCCCTCATTTTATTCCACCTAAAACGATCATGAGCTCAGAGCAAGTGACTAGCCAAAATCACATAATGAATTTGGTGGTCAAGTGTGGATTTAAGTCTGTTTTTGCTGATTGAGGTTTGACCCCATAACTGTTGTACTATCTCTTTACTACATTCTCAAATATCGGACCAAGGATCTCACTGCAATATTCTCTAATCAATAAAATAGGTATGGTCTCACTGTGGCCTTTCCACGGCAACATCTTTAAACAATCTGCAATTCTAAAGCAGTTCACTATTTCAAAAGCACAGCTTTAGAATTATGGATGTCTTTTAACTACATATGAAAGGTGCAACTTTATGTATACTAATCCAAAGTAAGTATAGCTGACTTTCTATTTGGACATACAGTATAATATTTCCAATTACAGGTAATCCTCAACTTACAATGGTTCATTTAATGACCATTCAAGGCACTAAAAAAGTGATTATGACTGTTTTTCACACTTATGACTGTTGACTCATGTTTATGACAATCACAGCATGCTGGGATCATCTTTTGCGACCTTCTGATAAAGTCAGGGAGGAAGCCAGATTCATTTAACAACCATGTCACTAACCTAACAACTGCAGTGATTCACTTAATAACAATGGCAAGCAAGGTAATAAAATGGGGCAAAACTCACTTAACAACATAAATTTTGGGCTGAATTATGGTCTTAAATCGAGGACTACCTGTACAATCTTATACCGTGTTTCCCTGAAAATAAGACCCTTTCTTATATTTTTTTGAACCCTGAAATAAGCGTGTGGCCTTATTGCCATGTGCTCAAAAGCCCGATTGCGTTTATTATCAGGGGATATCTTATTTTGAGGGAAACTGTTTAAGAGATATCCAAAGGATGAACATTGTGGTACTGAGTGTGAATGCAGTCAGAGCTACCGTTTTGGGTAGCGTTTTTAATAGTCCATAACATGCCTGCCAACATTGTAACTGGAGTGCTTGAGAAATTTCACTTAAGGAACAGTAGATAGATGCCACTTTTAAATGTGATTACACAGTCAAGGGGCTGGATTATAATCCAAGAATTTTTATCAAAGCTATTTCCATTGTAGCACTGAGCTGATCTCATCAAATTTTACAAAACTCAGCAGGGACAGTGCTGAATAATGCTTGGGTTGAAGGCTAGCAGGAAATCCCAGGCCTGGAGGCTAGGCTGAGAAGTCAAAGGAAAAGGCAATGGCAAATCACTTTATGTTGTTGTCAAAATCCTATATGGATGGGCCTGTATAGTTCCCAGGAATCAAACTTGAATTGATAGTGTGCCAAAAATCCATGTTGCCTCTTGCATCATGAAGATGGTAAAAAGTCCCTTAAATTAGAAGGGACATTTTCTATAATCCTATTTGAAAGTTTAACTATGCTACAAGTGTGTCTTGTGATCCCTGCAGTTAAATATTACACAGAAGAGAGAGATTTGCCAAGACTGAAAAGAAAGATTACATAAGTAAATGTATTTGGAAGGGAAACAAAACACGGTCCTTTTAAGAATGTATTATACTCAGATATCTTGCCAGAGAAATTTTCACTCTGCTCCAGGTCAACTAATGATTGGAATTATGGCAGGTACATGCAAGATATATATATATATCTGTCTCTTTTCTTCTGTGGTGCCAAATAAAGCACCTGGGCCTATTTTTGTCTGCTGCTATTTCTAGCTTCCAGCAGACAAGACAGGATGCATATTTTCCAAAGGGTAGTTTTTGGAATGTATTTCATATACTGTTGTATCTGTTTAAAGTTAATACAATGTATTTTAGCGCATTACCAATTTTGTTAGTCTCGAGTTTATCACATCAACAGAAGAGTTCCTTCAATCTTTGAAAGATTTTCTATTCAATGATGCCTTTATGCTGAAGGAACTATCTTCCATCCTCCTTTACTTTGATGTTAACACACTTTAAAATGAAAATCAGCTTTGGAGGGATCCATGGAACAATGTGTGAAATGATAGTAAGGCTGCAGAAGAAAGGGGACAACTGTCTCCTATCAGCAAGAAAACAGTGAATGAGCTTCTGCTCAGTAAATGATTCTGAGACAGAGGTGGTATTCAGCTGCTTCAGACTGGTTCGGGCGAAATGGTAGCGGTGATTGGGGGTGAGCCCGCCCTCGCCTACCCGCCCGGACATAATGCCGTTCTATTTAGCCACGTTTTTGAGGCCAGGTGCATGTGCAGAAGGTGCGCGCGTGCACAGCAAGCATGCAGAAGGCCGGGCTCATGGGCGGAAGGCGTGTGCGAGCAAAGCAAGGCGCACACGGGGTGAACCGGTGGTAAGAATATGTGAAAGCCACTACTGTTCTGAGAGTATTCTGGATCTAATCCAGGGGTGGGTTCTACTTACCTTTACTACTGGTTCACAACGGGGCTCGCTTTGCTCGCTCGCATGCGCACTCTTCTGCGCATGCGCAGAAGCATTTTGATGACGTCGGGGTTGGTGGGCCGATTTTACTACCGGTTCTATAGAACCGGTGCAAACCCACCACTGATCTAATCCATTACTCTCCAGTTTATTAATTTTAATCCTACACAGTTAGATTATGTGCCATGTTATTTATTTTGATGGGCAAGACATAAATGTGTGAAATAAGATGTAACTGTAAAATACTATCACTGCTATAGGCACTCTATTTGTCTTTTCTCCATGAAGGAGCTGGGGGCTAGAGATACAGACTTTACTTGTTATTTTTATAATTCATTGAGAATTGTGTAAATAATACGTGTAAATGGTTATATTTTATTTTGCTTAATTTCTTCAATGCATTTATTTTCCAGGAAGAGAAAGCAGCCAAAAGGGAAAGAAAGTCTGAAAAAAAGTCCTCTTTTCACCTCCGTCTGTGTACCAGAGCCAGCTGGCTGCAAACTCTCCATTCAGGGAATTTCAAAACATTTTCCCTCCTCTCTTGGGGCTCCTGCACAGACAGCAGCCCGGGAGGTGGTAGTTACTAACAATAGACCACTCATGTTGCAGAAAAACACGCAGATGCAGCCCCCCACATGCTGAAGGCCTTTTATGGAAAAAAAATGTTCCTGGTCATGCATATTAATAATGGCGGCCTCCTAGAAAGATTTCCTAAAATAAAGACATTTGACTACATTAAAGGCAGCCGGCCCTTGACAGCTTCTTGAATGGATGCCATTTGAGGAGGCGTATCTGCTGCATCTTAGATTCTTTCAACTTGTCATTTAGCACAAAAACAAACATTGGTCATTAAGTGAGGGTTTGAAACGACATGTTTACAGTGGTGATCCTGGAATAATCATTAAGAGGAGAGAGAGAGAGGTAAAAGGATTAGAGCGCCTGACAGGGAGACCAGAGAAGTTTATAGGCTTCCCAAGAAATTGGAGGGAGGAGGGAGGCTGAGCATTAAAAATGCAAAACAGCCATACTTGATCTAGGTTACACTGGAATACTTTTTCCCCAGAGATATTCCTCAGAAATACTGTGTTATTTTTATTATTTCATTTTTATAACCAAAAGCCAGTCTAGGGGAGAAAAGATAATGATAGCTATTCCATGCTGGGTCCATTTTACCTGCTATATAGGCAAAGATGTCTGCAGGTAGTTAAAAAAAGACAATATTGCCACAACAAGTTAACCAAATCTGAGTACAAGCAACACACAAAAAGCACATTGGTTGCACAGTCATGTTATCATTGACTTGGTTCCACCTTGTGAGATGCCCCAAATGTACACATAAAATAAGCCTTGATGGCGCAGCAGACTAAAATGCTGTTAAGTAACACCAGCTGCCTGCAATTACTGCAAGTTCAAATCTCACCAGGCTCAAGGTTGACTCAGCCTTCCATCCTTTCGAGGTAGGTAAAATGAGGAACCGGTTGTGGGGGCAATAAACTGACTTTGTATAAAGAAGAACACCGCTTGGGGGGGGGGCAAAGCCCTACTAAGCAGGTATATACAAAAGTATGAAGGCTATTGCTTAACGCATTGTAAGCTGCCCCGAGTCTCTGGAGAAGGGCGGCATATAAATAAAATAAACCTATCATGCCTTGGATTCAAAGTTGACCTAATCTTCATTTTGCTATACAATGATTTGCTTGATAATAACATATCCACTGCCCAGACACAACAATTTGTAATACATTTGCATTATTCGATTTTATGTTAATGTGGCATTCCCGTGATTACTCAGGATTACTTGAACAAACAAGTATTCTTGCATCCTCAGGATTACTTGAATGAACTATTATACTGTTATGGTATTGACAATTGGCTGAGCACCTCTTAAGGTATTAAATTGCCAAATAGGCTTGAACCCTATGAACAAGTGGAGTGAGGCAGGCAAGCTATACCACTTCAAAACCTTTGTACATTTCAATATGAAGTTTAATCATTAAAAACCATAAACAGAATATTTTATTTTTTTAACTATGAGTTTTCTAAAAATAGAAGCACAGACTTGTGGCATCTTCGTGACAATTTTTATAAGCTTTTGCGATTCATGAGCCTTTAAAGTAGCAGTGAATTTATTAAAGATTCTTTATTGCTTTTGTGATAGTGGATTATCAGAGCTACCTTTTGAAAACTTTTAATGATTTAATACAAATTACACAAAATGTGAATAAATCTCAAAATTGTATTAGTCAATACCATCAACTGATTGATCTCTTATCACACTTATTTTGATTGATCTCTTATCACATGCTTATTTCCTTTGTGGTCAAATGGATGACATTAGATAGCAGGGCTTTTGCAGAAGACTGTTTTAAATCTGGTCTCTCCCATGTTGTTTATGCCATCTGATGGGACTGAATTCAGCTCATGGACCACATTGAATTCTCACTTTGTTCTATAATATCCAAAACTTGGGGTGCAGATTTACTGCTGCTGTTCATAGCCTATTTATATGCCATTATATTGCTCAGTATCATGTAAATTATTATTACAGTTTAAAACCAGTAGCTATACCTATAAGTAAAAAATTAGTACAGAAGAGAGAATGTATAAAAATGTCTTTAAAATGGGAACAGCCTATTGAAGTAAATGTACTGATTATTTTAATAGTTCATATTTAAACTTCACCACTATTGTACTATTGGAGGCCTCTGAGGTTCAGGAGCTGTAGCTCACTGGCAGATTCACTCCCTGGTCTAACATAGGCCAGCTTCATAATACAGCATACAAGCCCAAAAAGGAGATTTAGGTATGAATGACCTTATAGATCTTAAGAGAAAAAAATCCACATAAACACTGTATTTTATATACATTGTATGTCCATCCAGTCTGGTATCCCCTCCACAGTTTGGCAGATCCATATACAAAATAAGAACAGCAAACTTTTGATCATCTGTACTCTTGAGTACTCCAATGGCCAGAAGCAAACTCATGCCTACAGCATGGGCTCCAGAAGAACAACTATAACAATATAAAGCAGCTGATAACCAAATCATATCAAAATCAGCCCTATTTGTTTGTTGAGTAAAACAAATGTATGACAAACTCAATCTTGCAGATAAGCAAAATACATTCATTATCGTTTTCCAGTAATTCCAGGAAAAAAAAGTATTCCCCATTATTGAGCAACTGTTAGTTTGCACTGCTATGAATCAGTCAGGAAAATGAAAAGAGCATAAAAGGAAAAAGCCCAGAAAGCAGAAATAAACCATGTCCATCTGCAATCGTGCTGTTCCTGGATTACAATCAATAAGTCAATTTTTTAAAATACCAATAGCTTCAAAGTCTGGTTTGCTATCCTAAAGCAAATTTTAGAACAGCCATTCACTAATTCTATTCATAGAGCATGGTAAATCAAAGCCCACAACTTGCTAACTTCATTATTCAAACTCAGAAATCTGAATGGCAGATATTTAGGTTGTAACCTTGTCCAGTAACAATACCTAACAATTTAATATAAAAGAACTTGGAACACTGAAGAGGAAAATTGTACATATAACCCAGTGGTGGGATTCAAGTAATTTAACAACCGGTTCTCTGCCCTAATGATTTCTTCCAACAACCAGTTTGCCAAACTGCTCAGAAAGTTAACAACCGGTTCTCCCGAAGTGGTGCGAACTGGCTGAATCCCACCACTGATATAACCCCTAGTTGATTTTTTTTTAGTGCATGGTCATTTTCTTTTCAGTCCAAAGAATCAAGCCAAATAATTATATTAAAACCAATAAAACAACTAGCTCCTTGCCAATATATTAAACAAGTCGTGGCAGACATGTTAAACCTGTGTATTTAAAAACTCTGTCCTGTTTTTAAAAATCTTAACTCTAATATTAGCCACTTTTAAAATTACTTTTTGTGAAAAGCATTTTGAAATTTGCTTTTAGTTCTTTTGCCTTCCATTCTTACCAAAACAAACAGAGTAACCTAGAATGTCTCTTTGCTATGTAGGTTATTGTACAAAAAGAAGAGGGGGTGGAATACTGCAGAGCTCATGACAAAATAATGAGAATTGAATCTGTCTGCCTCTTGTGGTCTGGAACATGAAAAGCAAAAAGACTGTATCCTGAAGCTATAAATAGTGTCTCCATTCACATTCAAAGCTCAGCAAAGACAAAAAAGCAGCTCCCAAAGGACAGCTTTTGTGAAGACTGGTTAAAAACACAAAGTTTGGAGAAAATGTTTTACAGTCCTAGGCAAGATAGTTTTCTACCAAGGCAATCTGTCCTTGGTGCTCCATGGAATATATTCCTTGGACAGGAAGATACAGGTAGCCCTCGACTTATGGCCACAATTGAGCCCAAAATTGCTGTTGCTAAGTGAAAGAGTTGTTAAGTGAATTTTGCCCCATTTTACGACCTTTCTTGCCACAGTTGTTAAATGAATGGCTTCAATTAAGTTAGTAATACGGTTGTTAAATGAATCTGGCTTTCCCATTCACTTTGTTTGTCAGAAGGTCACAAAAAGTGATCATATCAGCCCAGGACACTGCAACCATCATAAATACAAGTCAGTTGCCAAGCCTCTGAATTTTGATCATGTGACCGTGAGTGTGAAAACTGGTCATAAGTCCCTTTTTTTCAATGTCATATCTTGGAACAGTCACTAAATGAATTGTTGTAAGTCGAGGATTACCTGTAATTTTAATGGTTAATACACGGCCAGAGCTTCCCAATTAGAGACATGAGATATTTTCCAGTCAATCATAGCTTTCCTTGATCAAATTTTAGAAACTTCCTTCAATTTTGTTGTTGATGTGGATCTAGCTTGTTTCCTTATCAGCACCACAACCCAAATCCTTTCACTTCATCATCAGGCTGGCGAAATTGTAAAAGCAAGGCTGTTCTTTCTAGGAGCCATTACGGTATTTCCATTTTTGGAAAGTTGACTTCAGATGTTTCCTTAGAGGAAGGAGCCGTGCTTCTTGAGAAGACGTAAACTGATTATCCTAAGAAAAACATCTGGGCTGCAATCTGTGCACTTGTTCATAAACAATGTTTGCAACTTCCGTGGTCTGTTGATATTTTGTTTTGTTTTGCTTCTTCAGTCTTCTTTAACTTTAGCATCCTTTTGGCTGCTTTACCCCCATACCGGGGTGGGTTCTATTTACCTTTACTACCGGTTTGCATCATGCCCGCATGCGCAGTTCACTATGATGACATCCAGGTCAGTGGGCGGAGCCTCCCACCGGTTTTACTACTGGTTCTTGTAAACCGGTCTGAACCGGGGGCAACCCACCACTGCCTCATACCCAGAAGAAATGGTGTTCACAGACAGCAAAGCTATCAAGTAGAAAGCAATACCAAAGGGCATTCAATTTCTCCACAGATTTGTACCGGCCAAAACCCAGCAAATCGCAATCAGGGTTTGGCACTTATAGGGGATGTTGGAAAAGTTGCAAAATCCTGTGCAGGCAATACCCTTCAATCCTCAGGTGAGAGAGATCTCCATGTATATGATACGTTGGTCCCCAAAGCTGAAAGCGAAGAACTCTCACTTCCCTAACGCAAAGAGTTAAGATTTCTTGTCAGCTACAAATGCTGTATGTAACTATTAGTCAAAAGCTGGCATAAATTAAATAATAACTACTCCATTTGAGGGGGGGGCAATCAATTGTGGTCAGGTTTTCTTGCAATGAAACATTACCTTCATGCCTTGTATTATTAGCATCATCAACAGGAGGGTAGTT